AACTGTCAAACAAGAAAAAGTTTTGATTATCCTATAAATTGATTTGATATTTAGGAAAATACAAAGAGAATGTGGGGGTTATATTAAAGATATTAAAATGCGGGGGCATTTTTATCAAGCAAATTGCAGCATAAGAATGATATATTTGATTTATGTGAATATTTTGAATACATATCACATCGGAATACAATATACCCCGAGTGCTTAGAAATAAACTGAAAGAGAGCATCGGCACAAGTGGCACCCACAACATTAACTTGGCTTTCATTATTTCTCCGACACTGAACACACAGAAAAAAAAAAGGAAAAAAAGAAACAAAAGCCATATATAATTTATAGGTAAACAGAGACAACAAATCAGACGACACACACCGCAAATAGGTGGGATTGAAAAAGAACAGATGGGAATAAAAACAACAGACGAAGGCAGCAGACGGTAGATAGATATAGATTCGTCGTGTGTTCAAAGTCAGTGGAGCAAAGTCCACAGTAATTCTGCCGAAGAAATCTTCGTTTCGTATTCTTCAATTGTTTTGCAATTTTCATCATTGGTCGAGTGGCAAGCCACCTTTTCAATTTACGTTCGCCATCGAAAAATGTTTGAACAAAAAAGCACGCTTGCAAATCAATCGAAATCAAATAAAAACTGACGTGTGACAAAGCCGGCCAATTGACCCCCGGGCTTCAGAGAATTTTCTTTTATTTTCGCCAATGGTTTCGCAAAACAAGGTAAACAACAGGCTGCTATAAAAAATATGCTCAATATGCAATATGGTTTTTATGCCAATTAATGAAAAAATGTATTACATGTTACTTTGTTAAAAAAAAAAACAGATTCATAGACATTTTTTGTTTTTAACAGCTTTGGTGTAATATGATCGATGGAGTGTGGCTATCCATTTTTTGTTTTTCACGCAGCGAGCTATAAAAAAATACGTATTGCAATTTAAACAAAGTGATTAGTGATGATTAATCACAGTGATAACAGCGCTTCAGATATAATCGTTCTGTGCACCTAATGGGTATCCACTTTATTTCGAATAAATTCAGCAATTATTCCGGTGAGCTAGAATAAAGTGAGTCGGCGGCCTCGAAGCAAAGCCATTTCCGAATTACATATCTGAAGTTTTTGCATATATCTTAGTTATATCTTTTCTCGTGGCCGCATTTTGCTATCGGTCACGTGCTTTTTTTAATGGGTTCGCCTTCGTTTCTTTGTTTTGCTGTCTTACGTAAACAATTTTCAGCGAATTTCCAATTGGGTTGTGTGCGCGGATATTAGACTATGGAGCTGGCCTGGTCGTTCTTTATCATCGCCTTGAACATTGCAGACAGACAGACGACGCGGTTATTTTTTCTTTGGTTCTCTGATAAGGTCTTTAAACAATGTGCACCCGGACCAGACGTTCTGTGTGTGAATGGGTGTAGTTAAATTTGGTTAATCCCCAGAAGAGCAATTTTAATCCAGTTAATCAGGCGCCATAACAGAAATTCCTAATAAAAAAAAACTTGAAAGCGGAAAGCAAACAACTTGATAACTCAAACATATTATGTATTTGAAAATCATCATAATATTGGGTACATTATTCGTACCTTCTATATATGAATTGCGTTTCCAGTGCAATTCCCTTATGAAATACCTCTATTATTAACCGATTTCTAGTTGATATTTTTAGATGCTCCACAGGTTATCTGATTTCAAAGGTGATTTAACAAGCACTTTTCATCTGATATTTTCCCTTTGATAATTGTCATTGTGCAAACACATTTAATTCGCTTAATGATTAAGCTTATTCAGCATTACTCCGAATTTCGCTAGATGAGTGAACCAATAATGAATTCCGTAAAGGTTTTACGGCCAGGTTTCCGGCCAGATTGCGTGGGAAAAGAAAAACAAACTTCTTCAGGGGTCCAGCAGCCATGGCAACAACTTTGAGGTGTAGGTGTTATTTAGCAAGACTCATGTTGTTTTTTGTCAACAGCCTCAACAATTTTTTGTTTATGGTGCATATATATTTCTCTATTGGCTTTTCGTGTTGTATAAGGTTCAAGTGCTAATTTGCCTCGTAAATGATTTAAAAGCGATTAAACGTGTGCCTGGTCAAAGATAGTGGAGGTATAGCGGAACGAAAACAAACAAAAGTTACGATTGCCATTGCGATTAATCGTACGAATTTTTAACCTATAAAAAAGCAAGCAAAACTCATAATCGAATGATTGGCATATCATTTAGTCGCCATCTAACCCCGTTGATGATGATGATGATGAAGATCGATTTTGTTTTCGCTATGCACCTTTCGTTCTATTGTGCCCGGCCGGGGATCAATTAAATTTTACGAGTGTTTTAAATTTTCCAGCGCGGGGCACTAAACCGAACTACTCAAGATTTGGGTGTCGAAGTCTGAATGTTGGTCGTGTGGCCAAGTGGGTCACAAATATCTTATCTATCTTGTTTCCATGGGATATGTTTGCACGACAATGAATCAGGGACAGTTCCAATCGACTGATTGCAAGATGATTAAAGATCTTGTTTTTTTTGTGTTGCGAGTTGCCCCCTTGAAAGTCATTGAATTTTTCAAAATCATAGAGCAGCCATGAACTTGAAATTTGGCTTTTCCTTTTTCCCCCTCGGTTTTCTGTAAAACTTTTCCCTCCGAAGCCTGCCGTTTCAATTTCAACACACATCCCCAAAGTGTCGTGGGTATTTGGTTTCCCTCTTGATGTTTACAAAGGACGAAAAACAAAAGGCACATTCCGTGCCAAACACTCGGTTTGTTTTGCAAATGGTGCGTTTTTTATGGGGTTTTATTCTACAGCTTTGTTTTTGACGCAACAAAAGCTGGGTGGGTACTTAGTTGAGGAGGCCGTCATGGGTGACAGAGTAGGGAGATATTACTTTCAAATTATCTATTAAATATTACTTCATTGGAGAAAGGAATTGAATTTAAAACCTTCTGAGAACTTTTAAGACTTACAAACCAATTGAAAACAGTGTTTTTTCGGACAAGAAAAATTCATTTCTCTCTAAAATCGTGGCCCAATAAAAGTGGTATATTCCCATTTATCATAACCTTTTGAACCACCCTCGCTCGAATCGTCGTGTCGCAACGCATTTGTTTCAATGACCAAAGCCATTGGCACTCGGCATTTGCTCGCATCCTAACCATATACATGTCCCCCCATCTCTTCCATTGATTGTGCTCGAAAGTCGGCGGCACCCAGATGATATAAGCGCCCATAATGCTCGAATCATTGTCTCCGCATTTGAGTACGCATAATCATTGCACGGAGCTATTTGCCTGTCTGATCTGTCAATTTTCGAGATCTTCGCTTGGCCACACACACAAATTAGCATGTATAATTGCACATCGTCTCGACTCATTTAGCCAGTCGCCTTTCTATTGCTAATATGGAAGGAAGGTAATTTTCAGAACTATTACATAATTGCCATGATCTGGTTCTGATTTGCGGTGAGTCATCCATTGCAAAGTGGACTTTGTTATGGTGCATTACCCTTGAAACCCTGTGACGTAACCGAAAGAATTTTAATTTATTTGTTTACGATAGGATTTTTCATACTTTTCATTGCATAATTGTTCTCGATAAAATCGAAAGGATATCTTTCAGAATAATAAATAAACTTTACTCTGTGCTATGATTCATTTAAGGTAATATCATTCCAGATTTGTGTGATATATATTTTGAATCTGTGAAGTGTTTTTGCCAAAATGTCGGGCCAACCATTAACAAAAGAGGCAGAAAATGAAACAAAATAACAACAATGTTCGCTGTATAGTATGTAGGCATATAAGGAGCCAGAGCCAACTACAGAAACTGAGAAAAAAAAATTGGATTGGGGCGCATTTTCGAGATCACGCGGCGGGTGCGTGATCTCCGGACAGATGCGATTCGAGAACCCACAGAAAACTCTTTGGTCATGATCGGGGTCTCCTTTTACTGCTCTTCATATATTATATTATATCTTTGTCTGGGCCGTTCGAAATTAGGGAGCAGCTGTTTGCCGACTGACTGTCTTCGTCGGGAAGAGTTTTTAGCTATCTGCGGGGTGTATCCCATATCCAGATATATTATATATACAAATATATAGGGGCTTGGATGCAAGGCAGTGTGGTTTGGAAATCAGGTAGTTCGAAATTTATTCTTCACCATTATTTATTGTAATAAGTTTCTGCTTTCCTACTTGATCTTTGTTTGATGAACTTCACAATTTTTGTAGAGGGCATACTGGTGATGATTAAATGGGTTTCCGTTTCATTATCACCTAATCAAAAGCAAATGCTGTCAAGTGATTAGAAATCAGCTTTCCCTTTAAAACAGCTGTGTAATTCTATTCCACTTGGTAAAACCAAAACCAAATAGATAAAAAACCAACTTTTTTGTGTGTCAACTCATTCCTTTAAATATTTAAGTAATCGCAAAGTGAATTGTTGGTCATAAGGTTTATTTATTATTAAATTGCAGTGATTTAGAGGGCGTTCGATTTGTACAAACACCGGCAACATCGACCCTTCCAATAATCTTTGGCTCAAACATGTCCATTAGGGGATTTATTATTAATGAAATTGGACTAAATGTGCCGCCCCAGAGAATTGGCATTTACAGGTAGCCATAAATCGGCGTGTAAACATGTGAAAATGCGGGTAGGACCAGAAGCATATTGAATTTCGTCATATTTCATTTGAATCTTATCGTCCATGTGAAAACAAGTTTACCACGAGCCATATAACTATGAAATGCCACGGGGTTCGGGTTCTCGGATTCGGATTGGGAACTAACCTATCCTAAGTGCGAATGGGGAAAGTGAGGCGCGGGGAGAAGACCACATTTTTTTTTTTTTTTTTTTAGCTGGACAGAAAAGAAAAAGGAAAGGCGGGGAAAGGTGAAAGGGGCCGGGGTTAAGAGGTCACAGCTCATTGGAATTGGAATGTGTCGAAGGGGTAAATCTAACATTTAATCAGGGGGGTTGAAGGTGGACTTACGTTGACCAAACTAACGCCAAAACATGCCACCCATCCCCAACCTCCATCGGGGGCCACTTTTCTGGGCTGTTTGGTTGCCATTTCTGCTGTCTTTGTTTTAGTTGTTGTTGTTGTTGTTTTTGTTGCTGTTGCTGTTGTTGTTTGGTTCACGTTCTCGTTCTCCTCGGTTGTCTGCTCTTTCTTCTGTTGTTTTTCTGCTTTTCCTGGATTTGCGTTGTTTTAGGTCTCTATATATGAGTTTTTGGTATATATAGATTTATGGATACTTTTTTACGTTGTGGTTTTTCCTTTCGATTTTCTTAATTTACGCGTTTGCCGTCTGTGGGGTTTGTTTTTGATGAGGTCTAATTATGTTTTTTCATTTCTTTGATTTTTAAACAAGACACTTCAAAAAAACAAATAAAAAAATGAAATGTTATAGATTCGTTTGCGTTCTTGCGATTTTGTATAAGTGTTGGTTTCTTATCACATTGGAATTTTGTTGTTATTATTTATATTTACTGTGTTGGTTTTTTAGAATTTATCTGAATTGGGGGTTGTGTTTTTTTTTTTTTATAAGGCACTTGATGGAGAACGCGTAGTGTGAATAATTTTCAGATTTTTTTTTTTTTATAATTCCCGTTTGGCCAATGGCTAATTTTTGCTTTTGTTTTGGTCAGCTTGGTTTTTTTTTTTCTGTTCCAGCTGTTTCACTGTTCTCCCTTTTCGTTCAAGGGGGGTGGTGACTGTGGGTGTGTTGCTTTATGTGTGTGTGTGTGTGTTGGTGTTGATTTGTTGTTGTTATTATTCTGTAGTGTCTGTCGGAGGGGGGCGGAGGGGGCGGGCCTTTGTGGCCTGCGTTGCGTTGCGTCGCTCTCAGCGGACTCTTGCCGTTTGGTACTGTGGTCGCCTCGCACAGCGCTATTTATTACAAAAGAGGGGGCGGCAGGCGCTCAATGTCTCCGTCTCCGCTTCTTCCGTCTCTGTCTCTGTCTCTGCTCCTCGCTTCTTCCCTTCTGGCCGTCTGCTGCTGCTCTGCTGTCTCGTCGTCGCCTGTCGTCCGTCTCGCTCGCTCTCTCGTCGCGTAGTCGCGTGGTCGCTTCCTCGATTTCGATGGGGTACGCGCGGCTGTTCAATCGATACTGAAATACGGAATACGGAATACTGCTGAATAGTGAATACTGAATACTGACTGCCGACTACCGTTGCCGTTGCTGTTGCTGTTGCCGTCCCGTCGCTGCTCTGGTGCGCTGCTGCTGGCCTGACTGCCGCCGCCGCTGCCTCGGTCGGCTTTACCGTCGTCGCACAGTGGAACAGAGTCTCATAACTTTTTGGCCAGCTAGCGATTTTTGGGGATAGAAAGAGACCAATCTTTCTTTAAGTGAGAACTCTTGTACGAGGGTTAAAAGGTAGAGGTGACCCAAAACTTTTTTAATTTAAAACTGTCATAAGTAAATAAAATAGTAAGCTTTAGGTTTAATACGTTTTGTCAAATTTCTTAAAATTTAAAAAATTAAATTCTTTGTGTTACCTTTTCCTTTTATTTACAAAAGTTTATTATATGACAGAGAAGATTGTGTGATTAAGAAGTGCAATGCATTATCTTGTTGACTTTATCCACCCATCAGAAAGACGCCGACAACGTTATTTGACAACACTAATTGCAATTAAAAAAACGGATAAGAACCCATAGGAAATTTGACTGGAATAGCGGGAGTCAGGACCATAGTACTGTTCCATTCAAAAAGAGAGTTGCTCCACCGTCGACGTCCGTGCGAGAGTCTCTGGCCATGTCTATATGTGTGTGCGTGTGTCGTTGTTGCCTGTGTTTCAAGATCGCGTTCTAATGTCGGCAGTGAGAGAGAGAGAGAGCGAGGGCAGAGCACGAGAGCTTGCTTACTTTGCTTGCCAAAATCTACAAACAATGCGCCTTGCTTCTTTGTTTACATTCGTTCTTTGTCTGAAGTTGTGTGGTGTTGCATTTGCTGCAGGCTCCAATTCTCTCGCCAACCCTCCTCCCCCCCTTTCCCGTATTCCCCTTCTCTTTTTCTGCTGTTCACTTGGCCTTTTAACTCGGCTGCAGTTGCGCAAATGCTCTCGCTGCCACTCTGACTCTCTCCATTCTCTCCGCGCTGCCTGTTAACTTGTTGCGCTGTCGTACAAGTGTGTGTGTACAGTTTTTCCTCGTGAGTACGAACCGTAAGTGTACCCATGCCAAAAATGTACCCAGGCACAAAAACATTTTGTGTCCTAAAAATCATATAATATTAATAATACATACTGTCGTTCCTTAAACTTGGGCAACAGTTACTATTCTTGGAATATAACAACATTTTAATTGTTTTTACATATTTAAAAAGAGTACGTACAACTAAAATAGTACACAACAAGAAAGGAAGCTTGCGTCGGCAATCCAAAACTCATATGCATTTAAAAACTCAAAAGTCTCATTATTTTAAGTTGGTTTTGTTCAACGTCTGGAATAAATTGCTTCCTTTACTGCTTTGCAAACTATAAAAAAGATTTTGTTGTTTATGTAATTATGTATTAGTAGGCAGTTACCAATGGGGTATGATTGAATTTATTTTTAAAACAGTGTTAATTGTGTTATAATTTAAATAAAATTAAATTACATCAAAACAATATGGGTAGCGATTTACACCTTCTTAAAATCAAAAGTTGTCCACCCATCCACTCAATTCTTCGACTCTTCGCTGTTTACTAATTGGTCATGCAAAGTCTTTTTCATGGCCTCACTAATTCCCTCACAAATTCAATGGTGTAGACTTACAATTGAGCAACTGAAAATGGAAATGAATGAAAATGTCCCCAAAGCTGCTGGGTCGTTTGCTTCCCCATTCCGCAATCATCGTTAAAATAACAGTGCTGCAAACTCCTAGAATCGAAAAATGCGGGGTTATATTCCCAAAAAGGAGACATCCTTGAATCAAAAATTCTTTAAAAAATATATTTTTTATGCAAGAGTAATTCAGAATTATTTACAACAAATTTCTCTGAAGATTTCTTACACGTCTTGTATTTAAAATGATTATTTTTATACATTTCTCACTCAAATATTTTCTTGACTTTTATTCAATATCAGTAAGAAAAAAAAATAATTAGCTATATTTACAACACTGTCCTATAAGTTTGACAAAGAATCGATAATTGCTAGAGCTCTAAAAAGATAGGGGGAATCGAGGCTGTCAATGACACCGAACACACCCATGTGGGATTTGCATGCGAGTACTTAAAGCCTACTCTGCCGGCAGCAGATTGTTGCCTTACCAGCTGTGTCATAATTTAAATCTCAAAAAAAAAAAAAGCTAAAGCATCAGCGCTATCTTACTGCAAAACAATTTATTGTATGCCAGCTATATCTATACTGAATAAATTAAAATTGAACTCCTTTAGTAAAATATTAATATTATATGGCTAAAGTAGCATCACTGCTGTTTTTTGTTTGCTTCCTGTTCGTTCTAACTTGTTGCTCAGTTGGCAACGCCACCCACTTTTTGTGGGTGGCACTTAAGTGGGTGAATTTACGTGCGTCTCCTTTAATGTGTCCTGAAAAAACGATGTGGCAGGGTGAAGGGTTACGTGTGGCAGAGAGTTTGTTGCCTGATTGAGTATTGCTGGCCATAATCTCTGCTCAATGTTAATTTTTTTTTATGCATGTCTTTAAAACCTTTAAAAAAATTAATAGTTAGAAAATATGTACGTATGTATAAAGATACTTTAGTAAATCAAATGAACTTAAATTACTTTTTACTAATAGGATAATTATTGTGTACTTACTTTCTAATATCAGCTAAATACCGACGTTTAACTTTACCAGTTAATTATACCTTTACGGCTGCTCCTCGTCTGTTTTCCCCATAACTTTAATGTGCCGACAACCAACAGTTGGCTTCTTAAATTACAGTGTACCGCAGTTTGCTATGCAAAAAAAAAGCTCTGAAAAGGGAAAGATTATGTGACATCAGATTTTTGGGCTGATGACGTAGTTACGGATTTGTTTTGATACCCTGGTAATTACAAAATGTTGCATGATGTGTCTGGAAAAATTTACGTGTATCAAATTTACCAAAAAAAATTTGGAAACTTCCTTAAGTTATAAATGGTATCACATTTGGTGTAAATTTATTTTATAAAATGAACCTTGATGGTTAGGACAATTTTCAATTCTTCATTAAAATCTCTAATATTTTCACCCGAAATAAAATCTAGGTTTTTGAATATGGGGTGATTAATATTCTATTCCAGAAGCCAAAGTTCATCGTTGTTGTTTATTTTCCCCTTTTTCCCCAGTTAGTTCCGCTGATGTTGGCAGTAGCAACAAAATCGAACTGTGACAAATTTATTTAGCATTGGACTGAGAGCGAACTGGGCGATAGCTTCCTGTTTGTTGAATGCCTGGTTTTGGCAGATGTTTTCTGGCCTGTGATATGAAATATTCCTCTCACTGCCTATTTGATAAGCTCCGCGGTGCATTGAACCCGATCCATCGTCCATCTCCTCATAACATTTTCGAAGGCACTTTTTTTGAGCTTGTAATTTTCCGCTCGACGAGTTACATTTCATATACATTTCCAGTCCCATAATCCATTTATTGCTTTATCGTCACCAGCGAACTGGTTTTTTCTTTAGTTTGCCTAATTTGTAAATTTGTTTATGGAGGGGAAGGGGCGTTAGTTTAAGAGTTTTGCATTGTCTTTTAAATTGAGTTTCCAATTAAATCTTATCCAAAGCCATTGGCATCATCTTGCATCATGAAAATATTAACTTTTGCTTGTGCTTAAACTCAAAATTATAATAAAAATGTATATAAAATTGAGGTATGAGTTGCAATTAAAGCGTGTGTTACGGTGAAAAATCGGTTTATTGGGTTCATTATAAACGCAAAACAAAAACGAGTCCACAAATAATTCCCTGAACTTAACTTGCCGCCAATGTTTGTTCAATTTTTTTTGTTCCGCTTTTATCCGCAGTGTCATTGATCGTTTATATTGATGTTATGATGACTTGGCTCGTGATATTCACGTGCTCCTTCCCACTCATGCCCTCTCACTCTCTTCTCCTCGACGACTTTCTTCCGCACTGTCACAAGATTCTTGTTAGATTTCGAACTTTGGATTCTGCCGGATGGATGGGCAAACCAATTTTGATTAGGCTTTATTACTGCGTCACAAAATATGAGATCATTTAATGAAAAAACAGATGGTTTACCAATCAAAAAACAACCTTTTTTGCCCACTTTTTTTTGGTTTGTTTAATTAAGTTCCTTTGAATTAAAAAAAAACTGGATAATTGTTAGGAAATATAATCATTTTGTCATTTCCAGTAGATAGTTGTTTGAAGCCCCATTCAGCACCTATTAAATAAAACTCGTGTTGTTAATTTTAAGTTTTTGGCAGCTTATGCATATTAATTAACAATTATCGATATTTAATACAATTAATTAGCTACACTCGAATAGTATATACACAATGTACACGCAGAATATAGTTTACATAAACATACGGATTAAAAAAAAAAGCACTGGGCAAATGCGATAACAAGAATAACATTTTGCTAAAGTTAGGATGGATTGGGGAACGGAGTTGGTCTTGGAATTGCTGGCACTGAGTACGACTGAATTGGGAGGAGGTGGTAACTGAATGCAACTGAAATCAGTCGGCGGTCTTGACGGGCGGTGATTTTCGGGTGCGGGCACGGATGAAGTCTTCTAGGTACCAGCCCGCAAAGGCCATCACGCAAAGGGCATTCAGCAGGTTGAGGACCACCGAGTAGCTGGTGTGATCCCTGATGAGGCCTGGGTATGATATTAAAGTTTTACAGATTACAAAATGAAAGGTAAAATCATTACAGAGTAAACTATAAACTTCCTTGGTTAGTATTTAAAAAATTATTATATGAAAATATTTTAAGAATTAATCAAATTTATTGTTGGTTTTTTTTTTTTTTGACTTATGGGTCTGCTATGTTAATCGGCACTCATAAAAACGGAACGAACTTTGTAATTTCCGGACTGCTATAGTTACTTAAACTTAAGTATCATCAGGTTCTATATATTTTCCAATGAAAAATGTTACATGTTCGCTAAAGTTTGACCAACAAACCCCCCTTTAGTCAGAGCTACTCACCGATCAGAGGTCCGAAGATCATCGAAAAGGTGCCGGACATGAGCAGCTGCAACCCGGCGGCTGCAGGCAATCTCTTTAGCGGCACATAGCTGGGAATGATCAGGGACCAGAAGACCGTGCGGAAGGCCTTGTTCAGGCCCAGCCAGAGGAAGATGCCCATCAAAGCGTAGAAGTTGGTTGTCATCGAGAGGAACATGCGGCCAACGCACATGCCCATGATTCCCAACACAAAGAAGGTCCGGTTGCTCAGGCTGATCTTCGCCGTGATCAACGGGATGAGGAAGCGCACAACCAGATCAAAGAATCCCAGCGTGGACATGGCCAGGGCGATCTGATCCTTGTTGAAGCCCAGATCCTTTAGGATAAAGGGTGTGAGGATGGCAAAGTTGATTTCCACAAAGTTAATCAGCGTGATGCCCATGGCCAAATTCACATAGGTGATGTCCCTCAAGAGATCCATGTCGAAAAAGATCACGATCTTCATGTAGAAAGGCAGCTTCTTGCGGCGCTGACGTTCCGCTTCGTCCTCCAGTTCCTGCTTCTCCTTTTCGGTCAACTCGGTGGTGTGGTGGTACTCTTCACTATCTGAGTTATAGGCCAAGGCCTCCTCCTCCTTGATGCTGTGGCTCACGGAAATGCTGCGAATCTGCCGCCCAGGATTTGAGTCCCTGCTGCTCAGCCTCTTCAACTCCACGTGGCCATTGCCATCGGACTTCTCCCAGGTATTCAGGCGATTCCGAGTGCCGGCGCTATTCAGCGATGCCCGCGAACCGAACCAACCATCATTGGCCCGAGGAAGCACCGGGGTATCCGGCTCCACAACGTGCTTGATGATATCCTCATCCTGATCCTCGCGTTCCGCCAACGGTTGCACCTGCTGCAGTGCCTCCGCATCGCGATCCCGCTTAACCACGTGCCACTTGACCGGTTGGTAAATTAGCGAACAGGCGATCGTGTGCAGTGAGGCGCCGGCGAAGAGCGCTGTGGTTCCCTGAACTCCGAACTCGGCCAGCATGTAGGTGGCGAAGTAGGGGCACACAATCGGTCCCAGTCCAGCCACTCCGAACTGGAAGGCGGTCGCCGTGCGGCGTTTCACCTTGAAGTACGTGTTGACCGCCAGCGAGGAAGCGGATACCGTCAGTCCTCGTCCGAATCCGTAAAGGATCGAGAAGCTCAGTATGTAGATGGCGAAGGTGTCTGCGAAGATCATCCAGAAGAGGCCCAGGAAGGTCAACACCGATCCTACCAAAGCCACCACTCGGTACGTGTAGCGTCGGAACAGCGGACCGTTCAGCAGACCTATCGATCAGAGAAAAACTATATTAGAATTTGTCTCTTTTAATATACGTAGTTTAAAATGGCTAATTGATACTCATCTAAGTAAAGAATAATGCAAAGTATATATTAATACCTGTTCAACAACAAAGAATTTAAGACAGCTAAAGTCGCATAAATCTGCTTAATCCCTGAACATGTTTTCATTTTAAATCCGTATGTATATTCAAGAAAAAAGATTGACTCTAGACTATAGATTGTGGCGCATACATTCAGTATACAATATATCCTCACCTTTATGATATTGTCGCCTGATCTAATTAAATACGTTTTTCGCCCCAAGGATAATTACTTATCTATAAAACATTCGAAACAGGACTTTTGCAGAGATCTAGTCAATGGAACTTTAAAACTTAGAGATTTTTCTGAAGCTTCTCTTGTCTTCTTGTCTTTAAATTAAGAATATACTATATTTTTTGATCTGCCTTTTGTAGCACATTTTAAATTCTATTTCTATATATATACAAATGAATATATAGTGTTCTCTAAATGCGATTCGTCGCCACAGTAATGCAGCCAAAGGCTGTTGATGAATTCTAATATGATATCCAATGATCGTATACTAGATTCAGCTGGCAGATGATGGGAATTCGCGGGATTGCCGGCAGTCAATGCCAAATGTCGTACATATTTTTGTATTAATAGCCATAATAAACCCGGCAGCTAACTCACTCACCCGTAAATGCGGACACAGCGATCTGTGTGTTGATGATGGTGGTCAGTTCGGAGCTGGAGATCCCAAGGCTAGCCATCCTGTCGTTGAACAGGATACCGAACTGCTGGGCCAAGGCGAACGTTACCAGCTAAAGGATAAATTTATGTATTATATTATACTTATATTTCATGGAAAAGAAAGTAATCCAATGGAGATTTTCACTCACAATATTAACTCCACTGGCGACTGCAACCAGCCAACCCCATCCACCATCGGGCGCCACAAAATCTTCACCCAGATCGCTCTTGTCCCGCTTCTTTTTCGCAGGATGCGATGATCCTTTCGCTGGGATCTGTGGCTGGGATTTCGTTTGGGATGGAGTAAGAGCACTGGAATGGGTTTGCACATGAAGGGGAGGTGCTATCTTGGCTTGTCCCGTGGATCCATTCTTGGGGAGTAGTTGGACCGCCTGCTCCTCGGGTAATCTCAGTCTGGATGCCTCATCGTTGTTATTGTTGTTGTTGCTATTGTTGTTATTGTGATGGTTCCCATTATCGGTCATCTTGGAACTGTGGTGCGCTTTGGCGTCTTCGATTGGGTTCTTTGGATGTGAGGGATTGGGGATTGGGGCTTGGGTTAGTTTAGCGCTGCGGACTTTTGGCCGGTTGGTGCATTACTGGAACAAATGCTGTTCACAAGTGGTTGGAACTCTGAAAATGATTAAGTGGAGTTGATAAAAAAATCAATCACTTTATTTTTATTTGAGTAAGTTGATATCTGAGTACAAATATAAATAGAATGACTTTGTAAAAAAAATCTATATTATCTGTAACTAGTGCCCTTGTTGTAAATTATTATGAAACTAATTGTAATAGAATGTTATTATTTCTACACAATTTATAACAAAAACCAACTCGAAATTAAACATTAAATAAACAATAAAGTCATTCATAACATTCATTACAAAAAAATATAATTTGTTAAGTCATTACATTTAAAACAGCATTAAAATCCGATAAGACATAACTTAATTAATAAAAACATCAAATTTATCACCTAAAGCGCAAATCGAATTTGTCAGCTATTAACTTTTATGACTGTCATTACGAGCAATTAAAAAATTAACAATTAATTGGTGCTCAATTTTATATGTCACATCGAAAACTATTTAAAGCATTAACTTCATAAAAAAAAACTCGTTAGCAATATTTTTGCTTAGACGGTGCTACACTCTGGCTCACAGTCATTTCTGATTTACTTAAGCACTTAGAGAGAACTTTAAAAAGAACTTAGAACAACAATTATATATGTGAATAATGAGTCACAAATTTAACAGTCTCAATGGTTCTACCTGTAGCCACATTTAAATATTTCACATGGCTTGTTTGTTAGTTTAAATTTAGTCACTAATTACACCTTTTTATGTTGGCAAACTTTAAAACCTTGTCATCGCTTAACTTAAATCAGGTTAATTCGTTCTGTAGCATTACTATTTTTAAAGTCCAGAGTATAGTTGGCAAATAAATTGCAGGCCTACACGTCTCTCACTCAGTTTAAAGATCCAGAATAAATATTCAAGATATTCATCTGAAACGAACCAATATTTGAACTCGCCCTGAATTGATTTGCACACAGGCCAGACAGCCGTTTACGGCTCAATTGATTTTATTTTTTATTGTGGCTTTTTTCTTATTATTCTTTTTTTTATCAGAGCTTCGCGAGACGGCGGGACGAAAGTCTCAACTTCAACTGACTGATCGTTCCAGTTATATGTATTGTATTTTGGGCAACTCTCACTCTTCTTGTGCGAAACGGTTTGTGTTTGTTTTTTTTCACGAGGGCGGTGAATATTTTTTCGAGCCTGAAAACGTGACTGCCGAAAAGCAGTAACTAAGTAAATAACACCGATTTAACACCCATTATATAAAAACAGTAACAACCACACACATTAAACGTCAGTGGATCCGATTGTTGATGATGATGATCGTCTGAGAGAGACCCGCCGCCTTATCGCACCCGCAATTTCATTTCAGAGAGCGTTACGAGTTACGAGCTTTATTTTCTTTTTCGGAATTGGAATTGGAATCGGAATTTCGTATCCGAGAGTTTGCTGACCAGAAATGAGTGCGCTCGTCGTAAATACTTGTGCCGGCGCCACAAAGACACCGAAACATCGAGATATTATATATGTCAGGGCCTGGCGGCATGGTTTCTTTACTTTTTATATGGGATCATTAAAGTGTGGCAAGGGGGTGAACATGTGATAAGACGACTCACTCCTTCGCCTGCCGATATCGGCTAATTATATTGTTGCCCAAAGGTTATATCCGCAACGCAAGGTGACAGGGAATCAAATGTTTTTTTTTTTTTAACCAACCAATCAATCACCAATCAATCGGTGGAATCACTGCACTCAAAAAAATTACTAGTAATAACTGTTTGATATTTGGAGTGTCCTCAATTTATTTTATTTATTATATTACTTTATTTAATATTAATACTTCATAGTGAATTCAAAGTTAAAACAAGTGAATTCATCTCCTAATTGAGAAAATAAAATTTGATTCATTTAAGCGAGTTTTACAAGTGATTCTAAATCTACAAGACTTTCGTATGTTCGTATTTTAAACAATTGCTAACACTTTCAAAAACGGCTTAAGAGAGAAACTTTTTAATTGGAAACTAAGTACAATAAAGTTTTCCAATTTCAGAACTGTTTTTGAGTGCTTTTGGGCCCGCTTACTTGGTTTATCGCACTCCGACTGGCCTCCAACTGACTTGGGCCAATAGTGATTGCTGTTTGCCGACGGCTCCAGCAGCTGAACCGAACCAAACCGAACCGATCCGCGACTGACCACTGCACAAAAAAAAAAAAAACAACTGGCTATGGAAATGGAGGGGCATGAGCTGTGGGCAGAAGATAAGATTCGCTGGCAAAGTTCGCTTTATATGCGATATATCAAATAGTGGAAACGGAAAACGGCTTGTACTAAAGGTCGCCGATACACACAGAACGAGCTGGCCATTAAAGCGCTGCTCAAATATCAATTTTACAGTGTTTTAATTGCCCGGCAATCAGCAAGCACAACATACTCGTACTCATATGCTAAAGCACAGTGGGCCAGATTAGACTTTTGACTCGCCGCTTGACTTTGTGTTCGCGGGTTCAGTTCACGATATACACGAATTAATGGCTCTAATTGACCTCAAGTGAATCAGCTCTTTCGTTATCGCACCGCCAGAAAATGTTGGCATATGTGTTGTGGGGGAACTTGGATACGGCTCTATGATATTACGGCCACAACTGCGGAATTTTTCAATGCCATTCAGTGATCGTACCACCCATCGATCAGCGCAAGCACATGGCAGAAATTGGCAATAAGAACATGACGAAATACACGTGATGATCTTCTCCAAAAAAGTAAAGCAACTAGTTGATAGAACAAATTGTCCATCTAATATAGTTTCAGGGATGTGATAATAATTATTTAATAATTGTAATACAAAAACTGGATATTTAGAAATAATACAGTATAATAATGTGTTAATTGAAACACGGAAAAGGTTGAAATCCATCAAATTATATTTTTACTGGTCCCAAAATAGTATTTGAAAGTAGGTTTTAAATCTGTAAATATTTAGTTAATGATAATTATGTGATAATTATTATATAAATTATATTGAAGATGACGCTTTGATTAAAATCCATGATAAACAACTATTCATTGCATAAAGACTTACAACTAACTGATTAGTTATAAAATGCAATTATTAGATCAACAGCTGTTTCTCTTTTTGTTGTAGACCTAACAATCGAATCAGTTGATAATGAAAATTGTTTTATGTAACAAAAAAAAAAGTTTAACTTTTTATAGATTGAGCTGATAATGAAAAATTTAATGAAAACCTTTGGCCGTTGATGAATTGACGCTTCCTCATCTTTCCATCCGACTGATTAGTTGGCAAGGCAGTTTGATAATGGTTCTCCCGATAGTAAACACGCTTAGATCTATTTAATACATAGTTATTTCACGCATTTATCAATTCTAAGGAAAAAGGCAGTTAAGAACTCCAAAAAAACCGTTTGTACGTATTTTATTGGCCTCAAGTGCTTGATAAACACGCGATGTTTATGGGACATTTAAGGCGACCAAGCCGTCTAAAGCTAAAAACAAACATTTGTATAATTAGTGCTTTCCGTTTTTATACGACTACTTGTCCCGTTGACTCCAAAACGTATTCACACACCATAAAGGAGAATTATTTGCGGTGGGCCAACAAAGATGCCAGCGGTGATGATCCCCCAGTTGCCATAAAAACATTTACAGCCGGTAGTCTGCTTTTGGTAGCTACTGTGCGGCGATTCGAACGGGCTTTTGGGGTTCTATATAAACGGTAATCACTCTATTTGAGAGGAAAAGCGACTTTGATTGATGTTTGATTGATTGATAAGGGAACATCACGTATGCACCGATATCGAAATTAGACGTAACATAATAATAATATCGCTTGTTATGCTACCACGTTTTGGGTCCCAGGGAAATCAAATTTATTCCAACTCAGTTTGTCGCAATTTCACAATAAGCAGACTATTTATAGAACACCAAACAAATTAAATGCCTGAAATATTTGAATATATATACATTTTTATCTTCCAAACTGATGAAATTTGTTTCTATTTTTGTGGAAATACAGGTTAATTAATATTTCACTTTGAACATATATTCTTTGGTTGCTTTTTAAATAATATATTTGGGCTTACGAATATCGATTAGATTGTACATTTTTAAATACGTTGACTATCCTTTTATCAAATTCCATCATTATCATTTTTACCGGTAAACTTAGGTTGATTAAAACAATATTGATATTATTTCTATAGATTGTACCAATTTCACAATTGTTTTTTTGAATATTTTTTTTGCTGACAGTCGAAGAGATTTTGAAATCTTGTTTTGATGTCGAAATATATACGATTGTTTTTGCAATAATGTTTTTTGACGACTCATTATGATTTTCTAATCATATATATTTCTTTATATTTCGAATGGTGCACGTGTCTTTGGGAAAGCGCGCGCTTCGAGAAAAAAAGCATATGTATATTTACATTTAGTTTGCACTAGTGCTAATTGCTACTAAACTAAAATACAAATGTTAACGCACAAAACACACACATCTATTTTATATATTCATGTATTTGGGCCGTACGTTTTATTTTTTGTAGATGGTTTTTCCTTCTTCTGTCTTTTTGTTGTTATGCTACTTCACATCGCTAGTAAAGTTGAAAAACAAAACAATAACAAAAACAAACAAAAAAAAAAGGCAACGAAATGAAAACGAGACGACGAATCAAGTAAATAGAATATTTGTATATATTCAACAGGCGACGACTTTTCCGTTACGTTCACCAGCGCGAACTGAACTGAACGATTTTGTGAATTATAGTATTAAACACCCAAACACAACACTCACACTCACACTAACGCACCTGTACAAGCCCCCCCAATGCAATACTCACTCACTCTGCTGCTCACTTTTTTGTCGCAGTGTGCGTGTTATTTTGGTCTTTTGCTTTAGCAATACCGTTGCTTCTCCTCCTGTGCTTCTTCTTCTTCCCCTTTTCTTGCGCTGCCTTTTTTTTACCGACTGTGTTTGCACTTGTTGTTGTTACTGTTCTATTGCTGTTTTGATAAGAAAATTATTTTTTGTTACCAGTGTATTTGCTTTACTGTGTTGTTGTAATTAGTTTTGTCGTAGCAGGCGCGATTATCAGGGGCAAATATACGTACATATGTATGTATGTCTATATGTGTGTATATATGTATATGCTCACAGACATTACACCACAAGCAGACATATGTATGTACATCTCCATTCTGAGCGCATTACGTATACGTACGTACATCGCTCGCAAAAAAAAAGCCACGACAAAAAGGAATAACACAACTCATAAATACATTATGATAACGACGGCTGATTAGAATTAGATTTGGCCATCCACTGTGGAACGAGATCTGATATCCAAGTAATTAGTGAGAAGCCAATTTTTTAAGTGTACTGCGTTTTTAATCAATTAAGTGGATTTGGAGATACAATATAAATGCAGTTTCTACAGGGTTTAAAGTAGCACTAAAAAATGTATGTTGATGTAAGCATTTTTTGCATGTTAAATTATTTGTAGACAAAATATTAAACGAAATTTTTTTTTTTAGCACATACAAAAATCTTAATAAATTATAATCTGATATGTTATTAACCATAATTAACTTAAAACCGTTCCCGTTAAGTTAATCTTTGGTTAGAAAATAAATTTAACCAACTAATGAAATAGTGCAAAGTTCACCCAATTTAAGTAGTCCCACGGCCCACTGTACGTCTTGCGTCTCCCGGTAGACGCCGTCTACAGGAAATGCGCATAGTTGGCCGGCAAGTGACAGGCGCGTTAAGCCCATGGTTTTGGGCCTGCTGTTGACAGCTTGTCACTGAAAACGGGACGAGAACCCCACTCCGTCCAGGTCCTATAAATCACCAGTTTGCATTACACTCCAAGGGCATCGGAACCCGTGACGCATGACCAGATCGAGGATTACGCATCAGGTGGAAAGGCTACTACTTTAGGGGAATTACTAAACATTTTCTTTATTTGAGACCTTTTTCAAGTCTTGCTCTGAGGGACTATCAGATGCAAATCCTAAAACAATGCTTGAAAATAATACACTGTGACCTTCCTAATCTCTAGAACTTAAAGCTCAAGTTCGAAACGATTTTAGAAAAACAAAAATGAAACTTTTCATATTTAATCGAAATCGAAACCAAAATGGTTATGGAAAATACCAACGTTGATAGTACGTCTTTTGGTATAGAATTTGGATACTAATAAAGATAGGATCTGGACTCGAAACCTTTACTCCCATACCATCTGAAGCGGTCAGAATTCGAATTCAGTTTTATTTCGCTTGCGCCATTTACAGTCCGCTGATAAGAACCGCACACATCTTATTTGGAATTTGGCTTTTTAATGTCGGTTTTTGCCTCTCGGGTACAAAGACCAAGGTGGGTGTGTCGAACCGTAAATAAAACAAAGGCAACAGCACTTTACTTCCCTTCCAAGTGACGAGGATCATGACATAATCATATAATCGGGAACAAAAGTATTTGAGACCTGCCCCCCGTCAAAGATAAGTTTTCTATTCGAGTATTGGAAACGGAAAAGTTGGTAGAGGTGACCAGTGCCTTATTAAATACGGCACAGTAAAGCTTCGCTAGCCAGAATATCAGTACCTCTGTGAACATTTAATGTTTATTTAAATGATTATGCCTTCAAAACCTACCACGAAGCCTCCAGGATTGCAGTTAAATAAATGTTTTTGATCTCAAAAGTGTACACATATATTTTTATTCAAAAATTTAACGTGGAACAGGATTGAGAAAGTTTGCATTGTACATTTATTTTTTAAAATGTTGTATTTGAAATATATATTATTTGTTTATCTGGCCTTTTATTCCTAATATCTGAAAAAAATTTAAAAAAATTTTTTAGGTTTTCTGGAATAGATTTAAGATACATTACGCATACGTACTGATGTCTTTTCTCAAAATTAAAAGTTGAAAATCATAATTTCTAAAGCCTTACAAGTGGATAAAGATGATAAAAACCAGTTTCGGTTTACTTTTTTGAATTTACATTCACAATTTGATTTGTCAAAATACATGAAAACCTTTTTTATAGTGTGCCACGCCGATGCTCTATTATTTCAAGGTTCTTTAGAACTTTCAATAGTTTAATTGTTTCCAATACACCAGTATAATAATTTGTCTTACCTTGTATAATTTTATGGAAACCAATTTACTTTTATAATATTAATTTGATTTCGAAACTTGATAATACATATATGTAGGTATCTTATCTTTTACAAAAAAAATTGTCCTATTGGTAATACGCTGGCTTATATTATAGAGGCATCCTAAAAGATGCCACAGTTTTTATAACCTTCATCTCGTAACCCTAAAAGATGCCACATTTTCCTTATTGAACACCTGTTGAAAGGTAATGTGATCACGTTCACAGAAATATTTGAAAATGAAAATGAATCACACACAGTTCAAATGAAATTATTATTAGTAGTTTTCATTCTAAAAGTAACTGCTTGTAAATTTGGTTCATAAAGTGTTGATTACATTAATTAACTTTGCAAAAGTCAGAAAGTCCTTCTATGAAGCATACAAGTAAATATTAAAAAATATACCACATTTTACTCGTATTACTGCTTTTTAAAACTAAAGCTTTTAATACAGTAGCACCCCGCAATCATCACAATTTTTAACAATCATATCAAAAGCCCCTCCGATTTGCAATAAATACAAATAATCAAGTCATGTGTTCCAAACAAAGTATTTTTTTAAATTGTCACTTTACAATAAGTGTACTATATATTAACTTGTTGACACCGCTGAGCAAAGACATTATATTTTCTAACTAATATATATATTAATCAACTGCGGAACAATATTACACTTATAACATATCACTAAGTACACACATTAAGTATAGTAAGAGTATCAAAGTCTAGAAAAAAAATTGACCGTAAATTAAGGTGGCGATGGGTGGATTATGAGCTAGTTAAGAGCTATGGTTCTTAGGTATCTTTAAGTACGGGCAACAGCGGCGCCGCATGCTCAAGTAATACTATACACACACAAATCGATCGGAAAGTATGGACTAGGCATTACGTATGTCTACAGCTCCAATTAAGCTACGATCTCGCACACTGGGATGGACATGCAAGTAGTTCAGTTCCGACGAAGGCATTCAGCGCCCTCTCGCCGCGTTTCCAAATCGGATTTGCCCCAATGCCACTTCTATTGGCCCAAACCCATCGATGGTCTTCCCAAAAGCCGGCGAACCACCGATTCCGTTAGCCAAAGGATTAGGGCCAAGCCGGTAAGTGCGTTGATGGTATGGATGGTGGCCGCATAACCAAAGGCCTCAGTTAGGATACCTTAAAAAAAGAAATTCATTATTAATTATTAAGTAATGAGATACTAGAGAAAGAATTGAAGAAATCTTAAACCTCGTATTTAAAAAAAAAAAAAACTATATATTTGATTGTTCAAACCATTAACGATTCATGATATTGGGCATGTTGTTGTTGTAGGAGTCAAATTAAAAAGGGGTAGCCGAACACCATAACTACCTTTAAATTTTATCCCGATCAGGTTATTATTAAATTAGTTTGAAACCGTGCAAATAAAATATAATAAATAATAAGGTGCAAATTAGAACCATTGGTAATTAAAAGAATTAAATTGGAACAGTAATTTTTTATATTTATCGTAATCCTGGCTTCAAAGTGAACAAGTTTTATGTAAAAATACGAGATCAATTTAGTCAAAATAATGTGTACTTCTTCTAAAAAACAATCTCAAGACACCAAGGATAAAAACTCACCTAGAATGGGGCCCATGGCGATGGAGAATAACGTGTTGAAGATGAGCTGCAGTCCGGAGGCGGCTGGCAATCGATTCAGCGGGACATAGCTGGGAATGATGAGGGGGGAGAAGATGGTGCGGAAGCCCTTGCCGAAACCAATCAGCAGGAAGACGCCGATCATGACCTCGTACGACTTTGTGAAGGCCACCACCACACGACCCACGGCAATGCAAAGGATTCCGAAGGCGAAAAGGACTCGATTATCCAGCTTAACCTTTTCCAAGGCAAGCGGAGCAAGGAATCGGACTGATATATCCATGCAGGCCAGCAGTGACATCACCAGGGAGATCTGCGTATCCTTATAGCCGAAGCTATTTAAAATGAACGGGGTCAGGACCGAGAAGTTCATCTCGCCGAACATCATGATGCTCATGCCAACGGCCAAATTCACAAAGGTGAAATCGCGCAACAGATCCAAATCGAAGAACTTGCTGACCTTCTGGCAGAATGTCATGCGCTGCTTGGCCTCCTCCTCGGCAATCTCGGCGGCCTCCTGGTTCATCAGATCCACCTGCAGCGACTCGGCGGTCTTCTGCAGCAGAGCCTTATCCTCGGCACAGGTGCATCGCTGCAGTTCCTCCACACCAGGACGCGAATAGACGCTCGTCTTGCTGGCATAGCGATCCATGTCCTCGCGTTCCCGATTGAAGTAGTTCGGTTTGTAGAGCGGTGAGGCTGTGTCCGTTGCACCGCCGTAATGATCCTCCCTGCTCTGTTCCACGCGATCGAGATTTTCGCGGCTCCTAGACGAAACCTGACGCATCAACGCCTGGCGAGTGCGATAGCGAGCCCCTCCAGCGCCCTCCGAAGTCAACGAGATCTTGGATCCAAACCAGCCATCGTTGGCACGAGCCAACATGGGAGTTCCCGGTTCGGTAATCTCGTAACCCGGTCGCTCCGGATCGTCCACGTTAAAGAGATATTGCGACGAGAAGATTCCTCGCTTGCTGCGCTTCTGGCACTGGCAGTACTTGCACTCGTAATCCTTCCAGGGATCATTAGTCGGCGTCAGAAGATTTCCATTGGCCTCCATAAGCTCCGGTTGCAGTTTCTCCGTCTCGGCGATTCCTTCGACAACCAAAACCGGGGGCTTCGCTGGCTTCTTCACGTGCCACAGAACCGGCTGAAGGGTCAGAGCACAGAGAACGGCATTCATTGCGATGCCTGAGTAAATCAGAATGCTTCCCTGGGCGCCATAGAAGTCCAGCAAGAAGTTGGAAACATGGGGAAAGAATATGGGTCCAAGGCCAGTGATCGTCCACGAGAATCCCGTGGCACGACGACGCTTCGCTTTGAAGTAGGTGTTGACCGCCAGCGAAGTGGCAGCCATGGCCAATCCCAAGCCGATGCCATAGACAGCCGACAGGCAGACGATGTACTGCCAAAAGGTGGTGCAAAAGGCCGACATGAAGATGCCCACGAAGCCCAAAATGGTGCCGGTCAGAGCCACCTGGCGGAATGTGAACCTACGGAACATGGCTCCATTGACGATGCCTGTGGAGGAGGTATCAAGACAATCTGTTAATGCCATCCCTGGAGGGTATGAAGGATATAACTCACCCACTAGCGACGAGACCGCCATCACCACGTTCACAATGGTCGTGGTTTGCTTGGCATCGAAGCCCAAGTCTTTCATTCGCCCTCTGTAAATCAGGCCATATTGCTGCAGTGCCGGGAAAAGGAAGAACTGTGGAGGGAACAGCAGAAGAAGAAGAAGGGGATACTCATCTAGAGTCCATACGTAGGGGCATCAACTGTGTGTATCACTTACGTTATTAAAACCCGCCGCCAGGCAAACCACCCAGCCCCATCCCCCGTCGGGCGCCACAAAATCGGGTCCCAGATCGCTCTTGTCCCGACGCTTCGGCTTCTTTGGCTTCGTCGTCTCATTGTACACGTTTGTGCGATTCTTCTCTGTTAAGCTGGATTTCTCCATTGTGGCGCGATTTGATCCTGAAAGTGCAAGACGGTGATTAATGAAGTGCCTTACGCTTGGAACAGGGTGGGGTTTTTAATCTGGCTGGTTTTTATTTTTTGAAGGCAGGCACAAAGTAAGCCTGATAATGTGATTTAAAAGTTATCACTACATAAAAACTCGTTACAACTATAAAGCGGTTTAAATTGAATCACGGCAATGTATAATAGAACATGTAAATATTGAATGTTTAAGTTTTCAAGTACTTTTACCAACAATTTTGATATGCCGGATTAAATAGAATCTGATTTTGTGATTAGTGCGTGTCACACATTTTCATGAAAATTAAATGGGTTTTTTCCAACAAAAAAGGAAGAACTTTAATTTGAGCTTCACAAATACCTGCTAAATGGAGAATTTTAATACAGAGAACTTTTTTGACGTTGGGCCATTTCGAATACTAATCAACAAAAGTTTTTAAAAACTAGCCTTCCATTAAGTGCCCTCTTGTTTGCAGTTTCATTAGTGTAACCATAATTAAATGGGTCATTTGGTTTCCTTTTTTTTAAAGAGTCCAAGTGTTTGATGGAATTGTTAGCCCCGATTCAAAGATATAAGATTTCCCAAACATTGTCTTCACAATTCTAAAGTGTTAAGTGTTAACAGAATGAAGTGTACAAAAAGTGTGAAAACTACCGATGAATCAATAACACTTTTCATTAAATAACATAACAATCTTCCCAAGAACTCTTTTATTTAGAGTCAAGAATCCAAAAAGGGCGTAGAATAACCGTGATTACTTGGCAATTTTGAGTCTGTCTAACGAATTAACAAATGAACAACACTTAGGAAAACATACTCCCATCCGGCGTTTTTCCAAATTACAAGTTGTGTGTATACTTATAGGGAAAGCTGTCATTAGACTCCGACTGGCATTATCACATATTTTTCCCCCTATCTGCTGTATTTATCGATGGCACACCTTCAACAACTCTTCAAAGGGGAGATAATGCTCTAATTGCTAATTGGGATCGCAGCCGATAGCTGAACTGTGTTGGTTGGAGCCACATTATATGACAGTCGTTGGGTATTTGTGAACGGATGGACGGAGGGGCGGGCGGAGCGGGTCTCGATTGGTCTGTCATAGATATTCCCATATTGCCATATTGTCTAGATATTGTCTATTTTTTTTTCGATCCACCATAATGGGTGCGGTGCTGCGACACATTGTTTGGTATGCAAAGCACGCTTCTCCCAGCGAAACTGATGCGATTGGAGGATCTGAAGCTGAAGGGAAGGGAAATCACTTAGTGGAGTGTAAAAGCCGCCAGACCGGACCATCGAAATGCGGCAAAGCGGGACTGGGAAATGGAAATTGCGAACTGGAGACCAGGGAACCGGGGGAACCAGAGAACCAGGAGACCATCGTTGTCATCGTTCGGTTCTTGCGCTAATCAAAAGACAAGTTGTAAAAATAAAAGCATACGTGGATGGCAGATCGCTGATCGCGCAATGCGGATCGCGGATCGTGGATCGTGGATAGCACCATGATGGCATCTCGTTTATTTATGCATCGATAATGCGAGGACGAGTGCAGCTGGTGCAGTCGACAGTCACGACACCCGGGATATGTCTTCATTCAGACGTTTATTTTCCTTCATGCAAAGTCCCCTAAAAAAATCCCCCTTCTGCTCTTCATTTCATCTGCGTTGCCATTGAACTTCATCGAAGCGTGCCATAAATTGACGCCCGCCCGCTGACGCAGCCATTCTGAGACTCGGTCTGTGATGATGATGATGGAGGGAAGGGTTTGCGGAGCAACATAGTCGGCACTTGGCAGACTCCAGACTCGAGAGCCGAGACCGCAGACCCACAACTCCGAGCAATCGATCAACTGGGAGAAAACTGGAAGCCAGTCTGTGGGTTCTGAAGAAAGCGAAGAAAGTAATACACTTTTAAGATTCCACAGTAGCTATGATTATAGAGATTTAATAATTATATAAATTCAAATAAATTTGATTTTGTTTTTTTTTTTTTTTATAATTTAAATTTGATACAAACAACTTAATAGAACTCAAGGAGTACCATTTTAAAGGGATATAATTATAAGACTTTGAAAAACAAGATATATACTCATAATAACCTTTGAAAAACCTTTCGGTTAGGATCGCTGTGTTAAAAGCTTTTATAGATTTTAATAAGCAAATAAACGCCCATTTTTATATAACGGCTACATTTAATACAGCTCTTAAAATTACAGTATCATAAATGATAAGCATTTTTTATTATCCATAGTTTCATTATATCTAAAAATTCGGCGAATACTTTTTTTATGATATTTCAATTCTATAATGTCCCTAAATTTAAAAAACCTCAATGACCCGTTATTAATTGGTTTTTCAAGAGTATAATTTTAAGATTTTTGAAGCCATGCTAATACTTCCGTTCGAAATGTAAGATTTTCATATTTCTACATATTTTACACTGAAATCAGATCTATTGGGCTATAAAAACGTGCCCAAATCGAAACAATATCGTGCTTGTTTTTTAATTTCCCTCTAAACACAATGCGATATTATTGAAATCAACTATGTATATTATTTACATACTGTGCAAAAGCTGATTAGAAAGAGCAAATGATTACTTACTGTGCGAGTTGCAAACTCATTGCACGACATTCTCCGATTTAGTAATAGTAATGCTCGCCACTTGCGTGAGAGTATTAAAGCGAAACTTTCGCTCCGAGTCGAAATATCGAGCATTTCGGGGAGCGATCGGTCGATTCACCGCATTCCGGTTTTGAGGTTTCGGGATTGAGATTGATAAAAAATAAAAAACACCGATCTCCGAGAGAATCGAGAGTTTGCTCGGCGGCGGCGGCTTCCGCAATTTGTCGTCGATGTTTTCTTATTAATTGTATTGTTTTCTGCGCAGTCATGCTGCATGGACAACAATTTTGTGTAGAAGTAAAACAAACACTCATCGCCATGCGAGAATTTCAGATAAAGTTGCCAAGTGTTGTTTAGTTGGCGAAGAGAGAGAGATACATACGATTTAATTCATTTGGGAATTTCACATAGAAATGAAATGCGGCGAACCCCCCAATCATGCTTAAATGACAAAGATTTATGTTTCGTCACGCCGACAAGAAATACAAATCTGATATAGTTTTTCGACCTATTTTCGGATCACCTGAGCGTCGTTAATGCGATTGCAACGGTAAATTTGCATTAAAAACACGGCCGCCGAAGAAGTCAATAAACAAAGGGATTCGTTGGGCTTATTGTCCACGAATGGCTTTATCTTTTGTACGATAAGACCAGGCCAGAATAAATGTGAAAACGAGTCTGGCTCCAGCAGAAAAAGACGCAGTTACAATAAAATCGAGGCGAAGGGAACAGCGATTCGCATACCGATTGCCCAAGGATTGGCAAATACTTTTCGCATTGCTCAGATAAGAATCAATTCGAATACGGATACGAATACGGATAGCGGCAATTGCGATAAGCAGTTGGCTAAAACACGTGCTGTGGCTCCAAAATCTGGCCCTCCATGGACTTTAATTACAAACCCGAAATACACTTGAAAAATTATAGATATTTAAAAAAAATATATACATAAATATCTGTTTGATTTGTGATTATAAAAATGTATTATTTTTGTACCTACACTTGAAAAATTATAAATACATATTTCAATTGAATATCAAAATCTGTTTGTTTGGTGTTTCAAAATATAACAAATAATTTTAATCTAGGTATCCAATTAGCAGTGATTTAATATTATTCAAAGCCTATGAATCAAGTGAAGGCAATGTACTGTTTGTTTTTTTGCGGTGCACCAATTGACGGGTCTGCCGGTTTCTAGGCCTTATCGCAGTCGAGTGATGAGTCACTCGGCCAGATAGATACCGTACAAACATAGATAGATAGGGCCCTCGAAGGCGGCACTATTGATTAGGTTCGATCGGCGGTTATCTCCGGTCGGGACCCGGCGGAGCCAGAAGACAAATGGTGAAAACACTTGTACCTTCTCAAGTTCACGACATGCCCACTCAGGCAAACAGCCAGAAAAGTACAAGACGGCGAGTGTGTAGAACAGGTGCAGCTAATGGGCTAACAAGTATCGAACAAGCTTCCCATTGATGCACTTAAAAAAACCTGAACTAAATAGGGAACTAAAAATATTAAAAAATATATTTCAACAAAATATTTTATTTGGAATATGTTGAATAAAGTGCTTGATAATTAAATGCTTGCAAATTGAGTAACTGCTTTCCTAGCTTGCAATGAAAATATATTAATATTCAAAATTCGTTTGCACTAAAATTTATTTCCACCTTTATCTTCAAAGCCCATAACATTTTCTTCAAGTGTCTTCCACACGCAACGGAAGTTTTCTCCAGCATTTTCGCTCAGCCAATTGGCCTCTAATTGAGATTAATCGGTTTGCTTTGTGTGTAATAAACGGAATCGAATCGTATACACAACATTCACGAGTCTCCATTCACATGTGGTGAGTGTAGACGATGGCAAGTGCATAGGTTTGCGAGAGGCGTCAAAAAATTGTCGCTCAGATCGTTTTATTTCACAAGCCAAACGCTTCAATTAAATTGTGTCAATGAGAATTGATTAAAGCCCAGAGATACGAGCGTAATTGATTCGCTGCTAATGAGAAAAGTGAGAGAGAGAGCGCCAAACTTTCAGCTGATCAAATACGAGAACGTCTGTATATATATACAATACTATTTTATATAATCTCGTCAAGTGTAAACTTTAACCAGATAGTTTCGTTGCGCAGCACACAACTCTTTCGATCGGTACTTCATTGCACAAAGGCTTTTAGAAATCAAACTTTTCGTCAGTCAAAGCAAACATAAATAAAGTTATAATCACCCACTTATATTGGTGGGGATTCCCATGCTCCAAAACATATACACATATATATCATTTATCACCGAGTTAATTGCACGAAGAGCTTATCGCTTTCAGAAGATTACAATGGCAGCAGATTTAGCTTTGATCTGATTGAGGTTCGTTTGGAATTTATTTACTGGGGGCGAAAACAAACAATTTTATTTCAGTGGCGAGAAAATTTACAACAGAATCATTGAATTCTTTCATAGATCTGATCAGTTAAACCGAATGTTGCTTAGCACTCTTATATATTTAATGCAATAATCACAGCTTTAGTAATCCCTGTTGGAATCTTCATTATTAAATCACTCTTTAAACAATTGTTAAACGATAATTGTATGGACGAGTTACAGAAACACTCTAATTGCACTTGATGCTTTTGTGTTGTTTAACCTGCGTGTGAAACAATACTTGTCTTGTCTGTTTTTCATTAAATATTTCCCCATTCAAAGCGGCTGTAAACATTTGACAATGATCACACAAACGATCGCGTTTTAGAGGTGTACTTTGCGTTTGGAAATCGCCGTTTAGAGGAAGTGATTTACTATATGTATTTATATGCATATGGGTGAAACCGGTCCCAGAGATCAACGGTTACAAAGGAAAGTCTTTGGCGGAACTGTATGCATTTTACGGCATCGAGGTGTCCAATTAGGGTTCATTTGTGTACTATACTCATCGAACCGTAAACCTAAACCCCAAGTAAAGATGCCAGGTTCCCGGGACTCCACTGATTCCCGATTCCCGACTTCCGATTCTCGATCCCCAAAGTTGGCGCCTGCTTTTCTCGTGAAGCTGGTGTAAATAAACTGCAAAACGCATAAAACCCAAACAGAGTGGGAAAAATCTCGGGGGCAGCATACGACTTGAACTACAGTTGAACTTCGCTAATGAAAACTACCATGTTAATTGTAATTATATATATTTAAATTATATATATTTAAATTATATATATTTAAATTACATATTTTTTAATTATATATATTTAATTTATATATATTTAAATTATATATATTTTTGTTACTGCTGATATAATGTAGTTTTATACAAGTAAATTCTGGCACATGATAAATGGTATATATTTTTTTGAAACCTTGTTGATCAACAGTTCAATTTGTTTAGCTTGCCCTTTAATATCATATGTAATGTGAACTTCTATTTGTTTGCATATACGCTCACCCTCTCATTATTTTCATTAACTAATTAGTGGCCAGCCGAAAAGAACGTTGCGTCGTTATTTTAGTCAACTAATTAGCGGTTGGCCAAAAGCAGCGTGTAATGCAGTTCAGCAGTTATAAAGTTAAACAATCAAAGAGGAATGTTTGCAGAATTCCGAAACTTTCATCAAGTGAAGTTTGACTGTTGTTTAGTTTCAGTTTAGTTTTTTCTCTTTTATTGGCCTTGTTCTTTTGGATCTGCTGGGTGTGTGTAAATGTGTGTGTGAGTGTGTGTGTGTAAATGTGTGTGTGAGCGTATGTGTGTGGATGGGTGGATGGTGTACGGGAGCGTCATGCTCGGTTTGAATAGAGACTAAAAATGGCTATTAATACTCCAGTGGGCCTGGACAAAGTTATCATTCCAGTGCTGACTAGCTGGCTATATGGATATAGCTGGATAGCTCGATATCTGGATATCTGAATATCTTAATATCTGACTGAATGGCTGGATGGCAGCACTCAATTGCATCGGAGATTATGAGCAACGTGTTCGGGCCTTCACTTTTTTTTTTTTTTTTTTGCTATTTTAAGGCACATTTCGAATGATTGTTATTGCCCTCGGCCCAGCCACAAAATAATCCCAACACCCGGCACATTCTCACATGTGTTGTTTGGCGGTAAGCATTGTATGTTGTGTGTGATTCGGAGTGAAAATGGAAAATGGGAATGGGAAAATGGGGACTCCGTATGGAATGGGAATGTCAATCTCCGGTGCAATCCTCATGTCCAATGCAAAGCGTTTAATGCACATTTCTAGGCACTTCATTTCATTTCTTTTCTTTTTGTTTTATTTTGTTTAATTTTTGTTGTTGTTGTTGTTGTTTTGAATCTTCGTGTTTTTTTTCGGCTCATTCTTGCTCAGCCAAATAAACTCACGTACTTCAACCCGACTCCCGACTCCGAATCCCAATTTCAAATCCAAGTGCCTTCCGTGAAGTGAAGAGAAGTGAAGTGAAGTAAAGTGCAAGGCACTGACTGCAGTGTAACCCAAAACCAATCCCAGAAACGCTCTTGGGCAAAACTGGCCAATGGTTCCAGTTTCAATCCCTAAATGCTAATTCCACTTGGGTGTGCTGTCAAACAAGACGAGTTGTCTTCTTGACACACGATCTGCAGGGCAGGTCACTGGGAAAACTATTCGGTAATCGGGAATGACCCTTGAAATTTCAGGGAATCTCTCTCAGAAAGAAGAGTTTATGGATCGGATGGGCTTTCAATTAGGTTGCAAAATGCTTGTATATAAATTTAAATAAAACAATTTCTAAAATGAACTTCATAATCAAGTTTATTGAATTTAAATATCTGATTGCTTTATATAATTTACGTTTTAATATACGTTTAATTAAATCAGCCGAAACATGAATTAATTTTTGGTAGTATTAAATCATCAGGTTAAGTTTCCAATTAGGACTAAGAATTCTTGTTGTTGCTTTCAAAGAATAAAAATCTTTTTTTTATTTAAGAGCATAATACTGAACCAATTTGCAAACAGTTGGTTGCTTACCTTATCTCAGCTAATCAGCTTAGTTAAACCCAATATTTTCCCAATTAAAGCAAACATAAGTTCAATTTAAATGGTGTTATTATTGTTTTGTGACTCCCTAAAAATTGTACGGCATTGCTGGGCAATTAATTTCACAATGTTTAGCAGTAAGGCATTGGCTTTCCAATCACAATATAATTTTCAATGATTTAGCCCAGCAAACTATCTTCGAGTGGGCTTATCGCCTGCGATTCGGCTCTCGAGACGACTCCCCAAATCGAATCGAATGGAATCGAATCGCATTGAATGGACAAAGGTCTTGGTTGGTGGATTGCATAATACCGGCAGGGGATGCCATTCATTATGCCATTATACAATAATCTTCATTGGCACGTAAGCAGCTTATAACTGTTGATTCTAGTCAGAACCGAACTAAATGCAAAATTTGCCGACGATTTTCCAGCTGAATGCACTGGCTTTTCCCCCCGCCCATCACAGTGCCAAAATGGTCCAATGACATCCAGACATCTGATTCCTTTGTTTATCCCGTTGCTGTGCAACAGGTTATCTTGTTGGAGGTTAAATAGCAAAGTCCAAAGCAAGAAGCTGTTGCTTTCGAATGCCTTCTGATGCAGTCGCTCCTTTTCCATAAAATAAACTGAAAGTACGAGCTATGCTTTGACGGCCACAAAGAAGTTTTAATTAATTTTCCCAGGACCACTTGCAGCTCAAATCCTTTTTGAGCAAACAAGGATGATAAGCTGTTAAAATGCATGCCGAGCCACGACAAGACTTTACTCACAGCATTAAGACACAATTTTCAAAAAGCAGTACTTATAAACATAATAAGATCATTTTTCATTTTACAAAATCAATAATAAATAATAAACACTTTTTATTACGATTAGAAAGTTTAAAATGTGATCTGTTTAGTTTTTTCTTTTATTTATATAGTGATTATTAGGTACTTTTATTGAAGCAGTATCAAATCATTTGTATTTGCTAAATCTAAACTGTTTCTCAAGTCATTTCCTGTATTCTACTAGTGCACTATCTTAAGTACCCAAGCTTTTTTGCAGTGGTTGATCACTTTAAAACTTAAATTCGTTTATTTGAGCACCCAAATGGCGAGACTTTAAGTGCATTCATCGTTGATTGCCGGTATTTCAGTGCCGCTCGAAAACCCGGACTCCCACTCCGGAACCCTGATTCAGGACATCACCGGAGGACCGGCAAAATGCGAACGGGGTGGGGGGAGGCAAAAAAAAAAACATCACATCATAAAAATGTGTAATTCAATTTGGTAAACATTTTCTGCTCCCCTGTCAAGGTTAGATAAAAGTAAACCGGAGTGAAAAATGCTGAAACCTTTGGCCAAACTCAATTTTGTCCCCGGATCAGATTATCCTGGCTGGCGGGAGAAGGATTGAGGAATGGGTGGGATACATTCCATCTTCTCGAGACACATGAATTATATTTTCCCCAATTTGTGTTAACATTTTTTTTTAAAGATATATTTCCACAATTTGTTTCCTCAAGCAATCTAAAGTAACAAATTGGTAATTAAAAAAGTGACAATGTTTTGGTTTGCTTTATTGATTTGTTTTGCCTTTAAATTGTTTGTAATTATTTTTATTTCCATATTTTCTGGTTTCTAGTCAATTCTGCGAAATTGCACTTAAATCATATTTGATTTTATCATGTATGATTTCAGCCCCAAATTATATTTTCTTAGAAAAACTTTAAACACATGTTTTTGCTTAAATACAACTAAAGCCAAAATTGCTTGTTATAAAATGCATATCACAATGTTTCTTTGAAATATATTTTTTGCCTTCAAAAAATATGTTATCATTATTACATTTCTTTTTTTTTCTTTGAACGAGTTCCACAACACTTCATCAGTTATCTTACTCATTATATTTTAAAATATCAAATTTGTATTTCAAAGAATAACTTTTATTTTTGTGAGTACTTTTTTGGGTATCTATAAAAAATATTTAACAAAGGGTTTTCCCTAAAGACAACTGAGGTATAATTTTTTCTTTTAATCACTGGGCTGAAAGTAATTTTCTTATAATTATATGTGATCATGTTTTTTGTGTGGATGCAAAGAAATTCTGCGAAGCACTTAACACTTTCATCACTTATTGAGCGAGACTTACAGGGACTTCTGGGCAGGCTTATTATACAGGCTGGCAGATTACTTGATGATCTGCTAATTTTAACACTTTCTTATGCAGGGTTGCTGCCTACAGAGCATACAAATACACAGTAAAAAAAAAACAGTACAACACAAAACGCGACCGTTAACAGTGAGTGACGAAGAACAAAAAAAAACACGACGCTGTTGCTCAGCTGTTTCGACCAGCTCAATATTTGTATTGGTGTTAGCAAACAAGAACTGTTCGCTGTTAGCTGCTCGTGGGAGTTTCGTTCTTTGGTTTGAATGGAACTTGGCACTGGGCACTTGGACACTCAGCTCTCTCTTTCTGTTCGTCCGTTGGTGTGTTTACTGTTACGCGGCCAACCGACGACTTGCTGCTGGTGAACTGCTACGGTCTGCTTTATAGCATTTTACGCTGGCGACGCAACGCAACGCGGCGGAGAGAGAGCGAGATGGCCAAAGAGAGAGCTGGAGCTCTGCACAGAGAGAAACTGCGTGGGCCGAAGCGATCGGCTATGCAGAGCACCTGTTTCCGGTTTTAGATTCAATGCATATTTTTATGATAAAACCCCATTTAATATACTTTAATAGTTGTTCCCTTTTTTATAATATTTTATAGACCCCTTTTTGGGCTTGCATTTTTCATACAAAAACATCAAATATATTTGGTAAGAATTAATGAATATTTAGACCGTTTGAACAAATTATTCAATTAATTTTTTAGTTGATTTTCATTTATTATTAATTTCTTTCGGTATCCCTGGTAATTATTTCACTTTATTTTTGATTTCAGCCTGTAATTTGTATAAATCTGATTAAAATCACCTAAGAATTTTTCCCTGTGTAATGTGGCGCTCAGCTCTTTTTCTTGATGCGTGGGCAGCAGGATAGGCGATGCAAGTGCAGCGGGATTCGTAGCAGAGGATGCAGCAGCAACAGCAGCAACAGCAGCAGCAGCATTTAGCCAGGCCAATTAGCAGTTGCCGGGCAGCCACTATCTCTTCCTCTCTCTCTGTTGCACTCCTCGCCCTCTCTTTCGCACTTGCTCAGGCCTGGCTTAACAGTGGGCAGCGCTTTGGCAAACGTTCACAGCATCATCGTGACGGCGTCAAACTCGCATTGCTGAACAGCCTGAGAGATTCGCACAGAGAGATCACTACATGGAAAAAAAATCATGTAATTAATTTGTTACATTAATGTGGAGTCTATTTTTTCTCTGTGTATATAATCGCCAGACGAATCGAGAGAGGGAGTTCGCGGAGTGGGTGATCTTTTCATGGTCCGCTCTATGGACCTCAACAACTGTTACCACTTGACGGCCACACAGCAAGTTCAAAGGTCGCAGGCCAGGTAGGCACTAGTCACTAATTGCTCGGAAGACACCCATCAATACACTTAAAGAAAACTATAGTAACAACAAAGTTATTAAAAAAAAACTTCAACAAAAATTATAATAAGAGGGTTGTAAAATATCAGCAATCCAATGTACCCAATTATGCTCATTAAAAAGTTTAATAATTTCGTTTTATTATGAAAATTCATTCTCAAAGTAAATGCATATATTTTTGGCTGTGTGTATTCGATACTGAATCCCTAACGAATCGTATTTGGCAATAACCACAGTTAACGATCGTTAAACCGATCATAAAATTAAAATAATTACTATTTATCTTTTTTTAAGATTTCCTATGTTACGATGGCAATAAAGTAATCATGTAAAGGAATTCACCTGTTGCACTATCGGCTTAAAGAAAATCCAAGCAGTTGGTCATAAATCAGTCGGTAAAGACCCATCCATCATTTGTCTGTTCTTGTTGCCTCATCAATAAATTAAGAAATTGCCGGCAAATTCATCAATCTGACTTACAAACCTATTTAAATTATTTTTAATAATTTCCCACTGTGCATTTCAATCTCTCCTCTCCCTTTTATTTGGTCTCATTCACTCCTCTCCACATAAAAGCTCCATGGAAACGGTAAAATCGTCCATGGTATCAAAGTCACCTAAACTTACACTTAGAAAATTTGGAAAATGTTAGAGATTATTAGTAATAACTAAAATTATTATGAATACCTATTTATTACTACTTGAAAAAATAGTAGAATAAGAATATAAAAATAACTATTTTTATTTAAATTTTCTTATAAACACTGCATTTTGTGTGCGGTTAATCAACATATTTCTTTCATTATATATTATTAAATGAGTCATTGCTTTTTTTCTCTCCATACATCTTGGTCCCATGACATTGTGGGTGCAATCGACTCGACTCACAGGTCTCCCCATTTTACAACAGGTGGTTGCGGTTTAGCGTTCGCTCGCAGTTCGCAGTTCGCAGTTCGCTAGGCGCATTCCGACTGCCCCTATTGACCAAGGCAACTATGGTAAATATGTAATACTCCCGCTGGAGATAAATAGGCAAACAAATCGAAAGCGATTCTGGGCAATTATAGCTGAATTAATGCATGCTATATATGTATGTATGGTAAAATATATACATGTGTCCGGCAGGTACGTGTGCGCATGGAAATCGAGTACATTATCATTTTATTCAGCGCGATGGTAATGATGATGATGAGACATCGCCGGCATAGGAAAGCGAATTCGCTGCGAGCCAATGACTGGGCGACTTTTGCCAGGTTTGTTTGTTGTTGGTGGTTCTTGATTTTCAACAAATACAAAAAATACCCGTTTCTGTATCCGCGCTTTTTTTTTATTATTTTTTTGATGGGTCTGTCTTCATTTCGAGCAGTAGTATCTATCTTTCGTTAGCGTGTTTTTCGTTATTTGTTTTAATTTCCCTTTAATGTTTTTAGTACCCAAGATGTGGGAGTCGTAAAAAAGACGAAGAAGCGGATATTTCTGAACTTAAGTTCTGTTTGGTAGCCCAGAGATAACCAATAATATTACTAATTATTGATAACCGCTTACAATGGTTAACCAGGTAGTAAGTCATTCTAGAATCGCCCAGCACTTGTTTTCAAAATTAACCGTAATGGAAAGACAACAACTTGATGAAGACCAATTCTAGTTATTTTTCCCCGCAATTGATAACAGAACCCAACCCAAAAAAATCAGCAGAAGAATGAGATAGAACAAATGGAAAAAAGTCTATTTAATTTTGTTTTGAAATTCAAATGGGATAACAAAACCGATAATGTTAACTTGGCAATATGATCTCTTGTTTTAAATTATAAAATAAAACGTATCTATCATATATGAAAATCAATAAAAAGAACAAAATAAAATTGGAAGAAAAAATTTTATTTACTAATCTAATTAAGCTAACATATTATTATTACTGAAATCATGTTAAGCGAACTTCATTTAATTTGTAAAGTTCACTTTGTTTTTGGTGCAGTGTATTAAATCATAATTATACTCGACTTTTTTTGAAACATCATAAATTAATAAAATAATACTATTTTTCATTGCGAAACAGCAATATCTGTTTTATTAAACCCCAAGGCGAAAAGATAAGAAACTTTGCGATTTCAATTGTCAAAAACTAACAACTGATATTTATACGTACACATTCCCAACACACTGTTATTAAATTCCGAATGAGCAGCCGCATAGTTAGTCGCTCTCTTCCAAGTTGGTTGAGTAAATATTGGCAATAAGATTAGACCACTTCAACTGACGGGAGATCCCGAAAAAAAAGTTAAGCCATAAACTAATTAAACCGTCATAGCTGAAATTGTCGCAATCCGGGTTTCTCAGGCCTTAAATATTTACAACTGAAATTTGTAGGGTAATACTTTGGCCCACAGAATGCGTCACTCAAAAGCCAAAAGTAAAACATTTGTACTTCTGGGGAACCGTGATTGTTAATTTTCTTTTGGCCAACATTTGACTCACACCTGCGAAGCGTTCATTAATTGAGATATAATTACTGGCAATTTCGCAATTTTGGCTATAATAACTAGGTACCCGAATTTGACTGTTTTGTTAATTACAGTAAGTTATTAAGACAGGATACCTGAAGGATTTTACACGCACCTTTTTCTAATTAATCTTGATCATTTTTATAACCCATTTTTATATAGAATTTTATTTTACTTATTAAATAGTAATTAAATCTGTTGAACAACCGACTTATCTTTCTAAAATTTATTATTGCTTATCAAAAGTCTACGTCATTAGCAATACCTCCTGATATTTGCTCATCATAAAATTTTTTGATTTGAAACTACATATACCATTATAAAAGAAATGATTTCATCAAAATTATTACATTTAGAAACACTTTAAAAATAAAGAGTTATATAGTTTTTGCAGACAATTTAAAAATTAAACTATGTAAAAATATAACCCAATTAAAATGTCTAGGTTATTGTAAAATTCAATATTTAAGATTATTAAAAATTGTTGTGCAATCAATTAAAGATCCTAAAATTGAGTACCTGTTATCAAAAGTCTACGTATTTAACAATGACACTGCACATTTGCTAACTTAAAAATTGTTTGATTAGAAGGTAAATGCAACGTCACTAACGATGACGAAGAAAATTAACATTTTATTATATTTACAGTGAAAAAAATATATTCTCAAAAATAATGAAATACATACATAATTAGAAAAAATAGTAGGTATTGAGAAGTCAGTCCATGACTAATTAATTTAAATTGAATACCTTCCTTTTGTTTAAATACAATATTTAGGTAATACATATTTTATATTTAAGGTCTTTATTTTTGAAAAAATGTGGTCTATTGAAAAAATTACCTGAAAATTAGGAATTTTTTAGTAAAAGGAATTTAAAACAAAAACAAATTTAAAGAGCTTTTCGAAATTTACTGGAATCTTACTTTAGGCAAAAGGAACAAAGTTGAGCGTTGCCTAAAAAGCTTTTATAGAATAAACTTACATTTGGCCAAATAACCCACGGTACCAACAGTTCTTTAAATATGGTAGGAAAATTACTTTTAAGTTTTTAAAAGTTAAAACTTATAATATGAAGCAAAACTTCGGTTAAAATGTATATAGTGAGTCTATAACAAAACTTCCAAACTAGTTTTAATTTCTCAAAAATTATTTTTTTATTGATAAAATCTATCAAATCTGCGGTTAAAGTGATCATTAAATTATTATTTAAGAATTAATCAACAAATATTGCCACAGATCCGAGCTTCTTCTTTTCAATATTTAAGATTTTGGATTCCATTTCGAAGTTTAGCAATGTCACTCACCCGTCCAGTAAGACCCGCCTCCACGATTAGCGGGCACACACACTCCGATTTTTACCAATTTTTAGGGGAAAAACTGGTGGGAGTTGACCATCTCATCATCTGGTCAATGTTAGGAAAACATGCACACATCGATGTTTCGATATTTCATGGGGGAAAAACATCGATGAACCGAACTTTTAACTATGGGAAATATAAAAAAGCAATAAAAAAATATAATAGATATAAAAAATATACTTACATGTTTTGGTTATTTAATTTATTAAACTATTACTATTTAACTGTTTTAAAAATAAAAAGAAATTGATAAAACTATATAAACAATCGCAATCATACTTAAGCTTAGCAACTATATTTGCTAAATATTCAACCCACGTTCTTAAAAACGGTTATTGCTTGCGCGGTTAAGTGATGGGGAATCATCGGAGAACATCAGAAACAACATCGATGTTTAATTTGATCGCAAAACTTTGCTATATCGATACTACATCGAAGTTTATTCCAGCTCTACTACTCGCCATCTGGTCACACTGCTAGTCGCGTGTTCGCACACAAATTGCAATTTCGCTGTCGTTTTTTCCGAGCCAAATTAAGTGGAAGCACTGCAAAAAGGGCGAAAGACAATCGCACGGCGGTTGAGGCCTGCGATCTGCACAGGAAATGCAAAAGTTGCACTGCACGGCGCATTAATTGCACTAAACAAATTTCGGTAATAATTCGATTCTCGAAAGAACCAGTCGTTTTCGTGTGTGTGAGTGTGTGCCAGAGTGTCTCGCTGTGTGTGTGTGCATTAAAAGGCATAGAGGCAAGGAGTGAGAGCGAGAGAGCGCGGGCGGAGCGCAACGAAAGTGAGCGAGAAGCAGAAATTGTTAGTGCTTATAAGGATATATAGCGAGGAGGCAGTGAGAGCGAGAGGGAGAGTACGATAGAGAGGGGAGAAGAAGCAGCAGCGACGCCGACAACAACTGTAATTTTCCATTAAGTTTTGGGCGGGTTTTGCTCTGCTAAAAAGTAAAAAACAACTGTCATACTATAACTTTGATTTTTATATGACCAACATGTGTATTTTGTGCACGTTTTAGTGAGTGCGTGTGCGTATGTGTATGAGTATATGTATGTGTGATAAACTTGAAATACAACGCAATCGCAACGAGAACAAAACTCGTCAAGGTAAAATAGCAAAAAAAAAAAAAAAAAAAAGAATTGTGTGTGAAAAATTCCAACGGTATTACGCGAGAGATCATGTGAAGAGCGGGAACGCTACGCACGTGTGTGCGTGCGAGAGAATGGTCTTCTTAATTGATTTTCGCTTAATTACTGCAGCGGTTGCATAAATTAAATGTTTACATTTGTCCCCAAACCAGTGCTGTAAAGCAGACTTGCAGTATCAGGTGGCAACCCTACCCGCCTATCGATAGCCGTTGTCATTAATTAATCAGCCTAATTTAAGCCCTGCATATTTTCGCCGGTTAAAACAATAAAAACGCACTTGCTTTCTCTTTCGCTCTTTCTTCAATATCACCTCTTACCCTCTCTTTTCAACGCTCACTTCGCTCTGTTAACCAACACTGACCAGCATTAAGAAAGTGTTAATTTGCCTAAAATGTACAAGTACATGTGCGTGATGCTTCTGTGTGTATGTGCGGGAGTTTTCCTCTGCCAAATGCAACTTACTTGTTAAGGGAAAACAGCCATTAAATGAAAATCGAGTAAAATTAGTGGTTAGTGTGTGTGCATTTTGCAGGGCTTTGCTATTGCTCTTATTATTCTCTTTTTCTCGTTATTCTTTTTTTTTTTTTTGCATAATCGAAGCCGCTTTTCGGTACATGTGCATGTGTGCTGTCCCGCTCCCACTCCCACCCCCATACTACGGCCACCTGTACGCCCTTGCACACACACACTGCACAAAACTAGAGTAGTTGTCGGTGTATTGGTGCGAGATATAATATCACTTTGGAAGTCATTTATTTGCGGGCCTCGGAGTCTCGTGAGCAGTTTTTATTTTATTTTTGAGCTTTTCGTATGTAAAAAACCTTTTTGTTGTGGCCCATTTTGGTTTTTCTTTTCTTGCCCGCCAGTGTGTGTGTGATTTTTTTGCGCTCTGAAAAACAATTTTCGCCTGGCGCCTTTAAACGCTTCAGCTGCAATTGGCTGCAAAAAGGAGAGAGCTACGAAGAGAGGGGCATTTCTATTTGTGGAAAAGAGCGCATAATTTGCAATAGTTTGCCATTTACGCTTTCCATTCGAGCGAAATGCATTCGAACGCCTTTTTGGAGAGCGGCAGACCAACAACAATAAAAACAATAACTACTTGTACTATTTATTGTGATTTCCCCCTCTCTTTCACTGCACTCTCCTTTGTTTATTTATCTCCCCAAGTTTAACCTATATATATCGGTTTCTTCGGTATCAGTATCAGTCGGCTACTATTCGAGTGATGTATATATGCCGTGTTATTATTGATCTTTCCGGAGGATTATCATAAGCAATGATAAATATCTGTAATATTTACTTGGGCATTTAAAAAGCGTCTAAAGTATCGTAAACTTTGAAACTTTTTTTTTCTATAAATATTAAATTATGTAAATATTATTGTTTTTAATATAAATTAATTTATTTTGGTACGCACTTTATAAGAACTATCCTTAATTAAATCTTGACTTTATTAAAAAAAAATCATTTAGACAAAAAATGGTATAGTTTTGATTTTAATACTGTCCATAATATCCTACTCTCCGACAGTTTAAGATATATCGTTATGAGAACTATAAATATAAAGAACTAGAAATGGTAACAAGGAGTAACGCTTATTTTTCTTACAATACACACGATAGTGATATATAGAAAGTACTAAAAGCATTACAAAGTGTTGCGAAAAATATTGTGTAAAGGCAGTAGGCTAACGCGGTTAAAAGTCGACGATTCACTTCGTTGTTTCTCCACATCAATAAAATTTGTAAAAAAAAAAAAAAAAACTAATTAACATACAAATCTAATCAAACGAAAAAATTTTTAACGATTTTGCAGTTCTTGAATGCTGAGCAACTTAAAGAGGCTAAATCGCAGCTACAAGAAGACGACGACAGCAAATCACTTCCCCTGTGGAACTCACAGCCCACAGATCACATCAGATCTATATTGAGATTATAGAGATAATTAACGCAAGGAGGCAGAGGATAGTAGTAGGAAGGACGAAGCGAAGGAGAGAAGCGCCCCCCTCGTTTCCCGCCCAGCCAACAACCGTGTGAAACCGTCTTGAATGGATCCATTTGTTGGCTGGTTTCAGAAGGAACAGGAGGGACCATCGCTGCGCACATGGTTAAAGATTTGGGAGACGAACGCCCAGGAGATGGGCGCTTTGCTTGATCAGCAGCTACAGCAGGCGACGACGACCAACGGCAGCATTAGCGGCGGCAACAACAACAACAATAGCAGTGGTAACAACAGCAATAACTCCACCAATAATATTGCCAACAATTCAACGGGCAAAACCTACTTATCGCGACCCAACAGCACACTAAATCGGGTGCTGAATTTCCGTGCCGATTCCCTGGAGATCCTGCAGCAGCCGCCGCCAGTCAACGGAACTACGCAGCGTAACAGCAGCAACATCACCACCAACAACAACGCCACCATCACCACTACCAACAACCCTACAACCAGCAGCAGCAGCAGCAGCGGGAACAGCAGCGCCAGCACCAGCGCCCCGGCTGATTCCACAACGAATCGGGACAATAACTCACCCGCCAACAGCAGTTCCACCAACGGACCCGCTTCAGGAGGGGGAACAACAGCAACAGGAGGATTAGGCGGAGGAGGAGGAGGAGGAGGAACCGGCAACGGAACGGGCACCACGGGCGGCACCGGCGCCAATAGTCCGGCGACGACAGCGGCAACCACAGCTGCGACCACGACCGGTCCGGCCACTAGCATGAGCGACACCAGCAACAACCCGCCACAGACAACGACCACGGCCGCCAGTCGCACGAACAGCATCTACTACAATCCGTCACGCAAGAAACGGCCGGAGAACAAAGCCGGCGGTGCCCACTACTATATGAACAACCACATGGAGATGATTGCCAAGTACAAGGGCGAACCGTGGCGCAAGGCCGACTATCCGTATGGCGAGGGCGTCATTGGGCTGCACGAGGAGATCGAGCACTTCTACCAGTATGTCCTGCCCACGCCCTGCGAACACGCCATCCGCAACGAGGTGGTCAAGCGCATCGAGGCCGTTGTCCATTCCATCTGGCCACAGGCGGTGGTCGAGATCTTTGGATCCTTCCGCACTGGCCTCTTTTTGCCCACCTCCGATATTGATCTCGTTGTGCTAGGTGAGTTGACAAATGAAAAAATATCCATATATGTATACACCTCATACTTTTAATTTGATTTGACTGCATTCTAACACATTTTACTTTGCCTTCCTTTAGGTTTATGGGAGAAGCTGCCACTGCGCACGCTGGAATCCGAGCTGGTGAGCCGTGGCATTGCCGAGGCTTGCACAGTACGAGTTTTGGACAAGGCATCCGTGCCGATCATCAAGCTGACGGACCGGGAAACGCAGGTGAAGGTAGACATATCGTTCAACATGCAGAGCGGCGTGCAGTCGGCGGAGCTCATCAAGAAGTTTAAGCGCGACTATCCAGTGCTGGGGAAGCTGGTGCTGGTGCTTAAGCAGTTCCTACTGCTCCGCGATCTCAACGAGGTGTTCACGGGCGGCATCTCCTCCTACTCGCTGATCCTCATGTGCATCAGCTTCCTGCAGATGCATCCGCGCGGCATCTACCACGACACCGCCAATCTGGGGGTGCTTCTGCTCGAGTTCTTCGAGCTTTACGGACGCCGTTTCAACTACATTAAGATCGGCATTTCGATAAAGAACGGCGGACGGTACATGCCCAAGGATGAGCTGCAACGCGACATGGTCGATGGACATCGCCCGTCGCTCCTCTGCATCGAGGATCCGCTGACGCCGGGCAACGACATCGGACGGAGCAGCTATGGCGTCTTCCAGGTGCAGCAGGCCTTCAAGTGCGCCTACCGCGTCCTCGCCCTCGCCGTCAGTCCACTAAACCTCCTCGGCATCGATCCGCGTGTGAACTCCATTCTGGGTAAGTGTGTGACATTGACAAGCCGATAAGAAAGCTTCATCTTCATTTAAGAAAAACGAATTCATGAGATGACATTCAAAGAAAGAAAAAATATTAATGAAAAGGTGCAATAAAAATGAAGCTGTTGTTAAAAGCGTTTATAGCTGAAAACCATTACTAGCGAAGCAAAATTTACTGCTGACACATGAAAAATGCACTGCCGATAACAACTATATATACTATATAGTTGTAAATATATATAGGAGAGATCGTGCCGAACGCTCTGGATTTGTAATGGTTGTTCTTTGTTCTCCAACGCAGGTCGGATCATCCACATCACCGACGACGTCATCGACCATCGCGAATGGATACGCGAGAACTTCGAGCACCTGGTGGTGGTGGATCGCATTTCGCCGCTGCCCACGGCACCCGCTGCGTACGCCACCACGAACGGTGCACCCAAATATGTGATTATGCCCTCGGGCGCCGTTGTCCAGCAGCTGTACCACCATCCGGTGCAGGTGCCCACCGCTCTCGGGCACAGCCATGCGCACAGCCATAGCCACGGGCATGCGCATCCTGGCGGCGGCCTTCTCGGCCAGCCGTTTGTGACCGGAACACCAGCATCCGGCGCAACAACGACGACAACGATGGCGGCGGTGGTGGGCGTTAATGTTGGCGTGGCAGCCAGCGCGGCCCAACAGCAGCAGCAACAGAGTGTGACCGGTAGTCATTCGCATTCGCATGTGCAGAAGCAGTCGCAGAACCAATCGCAGTCGCGTCACAGACGTGGCAGCACCTCGTCCGGCGAGGATTCCGAGGACAGCAAAGACTGCGATGTGGTCGAAACGACATCATCGAGTGCTCCGGAGGTCATCGACATCACTATGTCGCCGCCGAACGGCCTGAGCTCCATTTCCATGCCGCTGCCGGTGCTCGCCGTGGGTATGCCCTCGTCGAGCAGTTGGAATGGCGGCAATGGAAACGGTAATGGCGGCAATGGCAATGGCAATGGCATCGGCATCGTTAGTGGAAGCGGTAGCGGCGGCAATGGAAACAACAGCAGCTCATCCACGGGCTCGTCGGTAATGCACACAATCCCCCGCCTTGACACATGATGATTGGTGGTGGCCGGCTGCCTTATGCCGCCCAGGCATCAGGTGGTCGGCTATGCTCCCATGCTGGCCGCAGTTGAGTCCCGGTTGTATCTGAAACCGAAAGTGCAAACAAAATTTCATCTAAAGACCATGGGAGCAACTGCAGCCAGCATGACAAGAAGCAACAGCAGCAGCAAGCACACAAGTATAACCTCTTCACCACCAAAACAGCCGGAAAACAACGCCCACATCGCTGCCCCCCAGGACATGGACCCAGAGCTGGAGGAGCAGCAACCGCAGCAGCAGCACCAGCAGCACAACCATCAGCAACAGCAGCACCAGCAGCAGCAACAGCAGGAGATATCCGGAAGCGGTGGTGGTGGCTCCACCGGAGGTGGAGGTAGTGGCGTCAGCTCAGGATCGGGCACCGGCAGCGGCAGTGGCAGTGGTGGCACTGGACGCAACTACAACCAGCGGGGTAGCCACAATTCGAGCGGCTATTACCATCAGCAGTATTACGTGCCACCGCCGATGCAGCAGCAGCTGAGCAAGTCCAACTCGAACTCCTCCTCCTCGAACTATCACCAGCAGCACCATCACAACAGTCACAGCAGTCACAGCCATAGCAGCAACCATAGTCACCGGCAGCAGCACCACCACCAGCAGCAACAGCAGCAGCAGCACAGCCACCAGCAGCGGCCGCAGCATCTGCGGCTGGGCGGTGGCAACAATCGCTACCAGAAGTCCGTGGGCGGTTCGCCCACCATCAGTGCCGGCAATGCGTCGAACAGCAGTAGCAACAGCAGCAACAGCAGCACCAGCAGCGGCAGCAACAACAACCGATTGCCGCCGCTGCGCTGCACGCTGGTCAACTCCTCGTCGGCGATATCAATCATTTCCATATCCTCAGAGTCATCGATTGCCAGCAGCAGTTCCAGTTCGTCGAGATCCGGTCAGGATCAGCAGCAGAACGAGCGCGATGAGCGATAGGATTAGGATACACTAGGATGTGATTGTGAATGAGAGAGAGAGAGAGAAAGAGATAGTTACGAGTTAGCAATATTTATATATATATATACATATATATATATGGATCACATTTCTTTCTCGGGTTAACTGCAAACTATTCTGCATTTTTCTAATTATTATCCCCGATTCCTGCTCCTTTCCCGATCGTCCCGCCTTCACAATCCAAAAACAAAAAAAACAAAAACAAATGTAATAGACTTCCTTTTACATTGCTGTCTCGCTTAAACTAGAAGAGGAAAGGAAACCAACCTACTAAGTCTAATATTAAGAACTTTGCCTCTGATTTCGCTAAATGTATTTCATTTTGTTTCTAAAATAAACATGAAAGCAAAAACAAAAAAAAAGGGGAATATATAATAGATATATTAGATAAAAACGCTATAAATATATATGTAAACTCATATTAGAATGTAATGGTTTAAAAGAGCGATAAACTGAAGTATGAAATTAGCTGCTAACGTATTTAAGGTCCGCAAACATGTTTCAAAATCTCTCTAGAGTTCCACCTTCCCAATCCCTTTTACCCACGATCACGCGCATTAAAACTTGTAAAGTACTTTGTAGTATCGAAAAAGCTCTACATTTTAGGCTACCGTTTTGTAAACTAAAAATTCCCTATCCCCCACTTCCAAAAAAAAAAAAAAATCAACAAAAACGAAAATTTTGCGCGCATTTCAATTGCTAATCTTACCGAGTGATTTTGCGCGCAAACTGTAAAAAAAAGTAACAAACCTTAAACCTTATACCTTAAATATCCATTTCCTAGAAATCCAAAAAACGAAACAATTTGCTATCTCCCATGCAGCTTCCGATAACTTTTTTTTTAAATATTAGTTCAAGTTAATTTTATACCTGAATTGTAAATGTTTTTATTAATTACCACTATTATAATTACTACGATTATATTATGCTTATTATTAGTTTTTATAACTATGCTTAGACAACCGTGAGCCAACTTATATTGTACGAACACATTGCCTCAGACCCAAAGCAATTGTGTTTTAAAACAAAAGAAAAAAAAAAACCTACAAAAAGAAACAACACAAAACGACAAAAAAAAAAAAGAAAACCTACAAAAAGAAACAAATCTTTTTTTTAACTTATTTACGATTAATTAATTATGATTATGCAATGTGTGCATTTTGCATAGATTCCTGCCATTTATTTGTATAGATCAGAAAGCTCTGTAAATACTTAGTTACCCCCTGCAACACCCACACCAACCACCACCCACCACACCCCCTCTAAACGCACTGCCATTTTGAGAAAGGTTTTTAAAAAACACGTCGAAAAGGAGTTAGCAGAAGAGTAGAAAAGAACATTTAGACTTTGTACATGTATAACATTTTAGGCTGTTCTTCTTTCCATTTGTATAAGAAAACAAAGAAAGCAAAACAAAAATACCAAACAAGAAACAACAAAACCGAACTAAATGTAAAGCCACTTAAATAGTATATGAGAATATGTTTGTCGATCGTTTTGTGAGCGAGTCTTAAGAGGAGAATAACTCTAGATCTGCAATACTAGGCAGCGATATTTGAATTTTTATTTGAAAGTACAACTTCTTTTTCTGATGCATATGAGTTCGTAAATGATGGAAAATCAGTATGCAATATTTAAGTTTTTTTTGTTGGGTCAAGATAGCATTTTTTGTGTTAATAAATTAAGTTATCTCGACAATTTTTAAACAAGATGTTAAAAACTAAAAGTTATTATTTAATGTTAATGTTATAGTATACAGCATTTTAAATTCTGTATTGATATGAAGTCCGGTTTTGACTTTCATTGTATTTCCTTTTCAAGCATGTTGGAAAAATGTTGCGAAGTTAATTTTGTAAAAAGTGAACTAAGAGTACATTGCATGGAATATAATCTGTCGAGTTTACAGTGGTAGTGACAGTGGTAAAAAAACCTAAAACTAAATATTTAAACATTTTTTTAAAGTAAAACCTTTTCAAAAATACATGAAGTGCTTGTGTGTTATAAAAAGAAGTACATAGGATCACAAGGTTTTTTTTTATATTCCTTAGGGACTGTGTTTTTTTTCGATCATTTAGGACCCTCAATGTTTTAGAAAAAGTGAGCTTGGGTACTATATATATTTTTTTTCGGTTGCCTAGTGTGATTTAAGCGATGTCCAGTGTTGGCAAAGGCCGAAGGTGCTCTCTCCCTTTCGCACGATGACTCCTACAAGCTTGCAGCTGAGCTTTGAAGCCCACCTTACACCCACTTTCTCACTCCACACACAGACGCATAAGCACACACACACACAAACACCCAAACAGAGAGGGACACTTAACCGTAAAGTTAGCATAGAAAGTTGATGAAAGCAAGGTGCATTCAGTGAGAATGAGATAGCGATAGCAAGAAGGAGAGAGTAACATATAAGAATTATTAAATTTATGCACTCGTCTGTTGAATATTTATATAAATTATATGTATGTAGTTACTAATATTAACTAATTGATAAATATACAATATTTATATGCATAACTTGTGGATTAATGTGGACAAACAAATGTTTAGAATTAGCGATCTAGCCACGTAAGACTCGTAATTCGTAAATCGTAAATCGACAACTACTTAGACTACATAACTGTGTACCAGAGCATATGTAAGCACTCCCACACAAAAAAGATACACCCTACACACAGACACCCGCGCATAATCGCTATGAATGTTGAGGTTATGTCGTAAATTTTTCAATATCTGATCACTGTTCGCCTAGCCTAGCAAGTAAGCCGAATAACTAACTGTAAAACTAACCTATTTTTTTTTACAGTATTCCAAGCCTCTCGTCTTTTGTCCTTTTTTTGTTTGTTCTTTCCGTTTAGTTTTGATTTATGTTTACCAAACTAATCCTACTTCCTTATTACGCATATGTCCTGTGTGCCGTTGTTGTTATATATACATGCATATACTCGAAAATATTTTTTTGTCGTCGCGATATAAGTGGGTATTAATAAATTAAATTTAATTTAATTAACTACATTTAAAGCAACTAAATTCAATTCAAGTGAATCAAATGAATCGATCGATACATGTATATGATAGAGTTCAATAGCTGTGTAAGAATCGGAATCGTAACAATTTAGTATGCAAAAATCGTAAATCTAACTAATTGTACAATTAGCGAAAAGAGAAAACGGAAGCGATAAGCAAAACGATGCGACAAATAAAAGCCGGCAAAAACTACAACTTTTGTGTATTCGATGGGTCTGACTTTATTTGTATACCCTTGCAGAGGATACTATAATTTCAGTCAGAAGTTTGCAACGCAGTGAAGGAGACACCTCAGAGCCCAGAAAGTGTATGTATTCTTGATCAGCATCACGATCTGAATCGACGTCTAAGAACTGTTCACATTGCAAAATTGTTTGGTTTTTGTGATTTATTGGTTTAATTTTTCCTGTTGTTTTTTTTTTACCAATTAACATGCTAAGTGAAAGATGTGACATGCAACATGCGATTTTTAACTATCAAGATTGGTAGGTTGCATATTTAACACCTGAAATATTATATGTTAGATAATATTAATTGTAATTTTTGCCCTTGCAGTATTATAATTTTAGTCAGAAGTTTGCCCCAAAAAAAACAAAAAACCATAGAAATATTTAAAAAAAATGTTAAAATTATATGTTAAGTTTGCTTTTATCAAAAACTCTCATTTTATAAAAAAAAAAACTACCATTTAATGTAGGTAAATTTAAAAGTTTTGGGCTCCGTCGCTTCGCAAACATAGAGCATCTGAATTTTGCAATTGGCATCGTTGATCATTTCCCGGGTGGCAAACATGTGCACACAGTTCTCGTTTCCGCCGTAGTTGTCCGGCATTTGTTTAGGTCCATTCCAGGGGGCATAGGTCATGGGTCGGCCATTGGACATCCAGTAGAAGGCGCCCTCGGTGCCCAGATCATTGCCCGATATCCAAAAGTAGTCGTTATTCTTGAACCCCTTGGCCTTCATATACTTGATCAAAGCCTCCATTTCCGGCTTATCCTCAACGGAGGCCAAGTGGGCGTTCATCATGCGACAGGCGCCAGCTGCCTGGAACCAATTAACCTTGTTCGTTGGCTCAATATAGTAGTAGTTGTCCCCGATCCTCACAAATGGTGTGGTATCAATCTCTGAGGGAATGCCTGAAACCGAGTCGAGATCATTTAAACAATGTAAATAATATTATATATTTTTTATAGGGTACCTACCATTGTAAACTTCAGTTCGGTAGTTGGTGAAGATATTTACATCGGGCAGATATGACATGGATGGACTCCAGGAACTGGCCAGGATCACGAGAAGCGTTATTGTATGGCACATCTTCCTCGGTAAGCGTTTAAAACTCAACTATCCGGCGTCCGAAGTTGTGGACACTTATATTTCTCCAAACTCAAAGGTGTTTCCTTTCCGGCCAACTGTGAAAAGCAGCTGAATCAGCCGAGTATTTCCACTTTAGAAATTCGATCGAAGAAATGCCGACCCACTGATAATACAAACAATTATTCTGTTTATTCATATAAGCTATTGCTTTATTCGAATTGAAAGGAAAGCTTACATTTAAAAGCACAATGGGAGTAAGATGGCAAAATAAATAATATAATTAAATCAAAAATTTTTTGAATGATATAAACTTTTTAGATGTTTCAAAAACAATATAATCTTAAACGTTTCTAACATTTAAACGCTTTTTTAACCTAACTTTTTAAGTAATCACTTTTTCTTATTTTTTATAAAACTCAAAGTTATATTTCAGCAATCTTTTTCTAAATGATATCTTATTATGAATGATATCTTAAAAAGGTAGGTTTTTAAAATGTGTAAGCTACAACTTTGTGTACGGCTACAATTCTTTAGAAAAAAATTATATAATTACTTGATTGATTTTTAGAAAGTGGTAAATGCCTTACTGTGTAGTCTTAGTTATCATCGAAAATCTCAGATCGTCGCCCTCAAATCGAATTCGGGATCGGTGGCTCCGATACGTTTTGTGGGGATTTCAGTTTCCTGAGAAGGCTTGAAACCTTCTGGCCAGACAATGCCCTCTATCCAGTCGACGAAGCTCGAGACCCTGGTATACACCGACGGCGGTCCACTGGCGCATCCCTGTCCCAGCGATGTGATGCCCACAATGTAGCCGAGTGGCCCGTCCTGCATGATCAAAGGTCCACCAGAATCGCCCTGACACGTGTCCCGTTCGCCGGATATATCGCCCGCACATAGCTGGGTGCTCAGCAATCCCTGGGCCAGCTGGTCCACCTGGTAATGGACCTGGCATTCCTCGTTGCTCACGCTCTTGAGCGGCACCTTTAGCAGCTGGGCGGAGGAGAGTCCTGCGAAGCTCGTCTGTCCGTATCCGATGGCCGTGACCAGCGTGTTCGCCAGCTCCTTCTCCGAGTAAAGGCAGGTGGGCTTGAGTTCCGGCTTGGCAGCGGTTTCCAACTCAAGAAGCGCAATATCGTTGTAGGCCGTGCTGGCATTGTACTCCGGATGAATGATCACTCGACGGATGAAGAGGTCTTCGCCTTCCGTTAAAGTTAAGTTATCGCCACCGAGGCGAACCTGACTGGGCGGTTCACTGAAAAAAAAGATTAAGAGAGATTAAGTGTTCAAATCAACTCATGTTTTTAAAGTTGCAAAAGTTTTGAATAGAAACAACACGAATTTTAGCAGAGATCTCGCCGAATCGCCGAATCAGCAAATCGCGTGACTTTAACAAACAATCAAAATTAAGAAAGTCACATAATAAATAAGATATAAGATATAAGCTATCAGATAACATTAAATGTTCGTCTTACCCGCCCAAATCGGCACAGTGGGCTGCCGTCAAAACAAATGTGCTGGAGATCAGGGCGCCGCCACATCGGTAGTATATCTGCTGATCGAAGTTGGAGCGCCAGCCAAGAGCAGCCATGAAGGGGTATTCCCGGTAAGCGGTGGGCTTCCCTCCCACAACCGAGAACACGAATGTTATATCGTTCTCGTTGATCTTCTTGACCTTGTTGGTATCGTAGCACGCTGCGAATGTGAGAGGGGAAACCTTAGTTAGTCATGGATTACATCATACTCTGTTTACAATAAATTTGGGATTGCCACAATAAGTGTTTGGGTTCAAGGAATTTCTGGAAATTGTGTTTGTGATTTTTTTTAACAAAACAAATATAAGTGCTTTTTGTAATGGAATTGTGACATGTGTTGAAATCAATCAATCAGAAGGCTGAGTGTAAATGATTATTTATGAGTTTAAAATCGTGTTTTATAATGTTTTCTTGTTTTTATCTTGGTTTTGTTGGTATTATATATTTACCATACAATAATAATTTAAGCACAAAAAAATTTATAATTTGTTTTTTTATTAAAAAAGTGGAATGAATTTCCATATACGAGAAAACAAAAGTTCAGTGATATTTTCAAGATCAAAATTAATACCCTTCATGTCATGCTGCCAATTATACTTTAGAGGTTATTTATTTTTGGATTATTGGATAGGATTATAACCAACATAGACTCACCTTGCAAACTGGGTCGCGTCTTCAGTGGAACTGTGTAGGGATTGGGAGTGGGTGGCAGCGTTGGTGGCTCTGCGGTGGTAACCTCCGCAGCAACATCGCAGCACACGAAGTGGTCGAACTTGACAAAGTAACAGGTCTTGGGTGCCTCGCGCCTCTCCAGCCAGCCCTTCAGGGCACCAGGACAGTCCTCCATGCGCCGGCAACTTCCCATCCTGCTGCGGGATTCATCCAGGTAGCACTCATCGAAGGAATCCTTGGGAAAGATGATACCACGCTGCGACTGCGGGCTTATAGCTGGTGAGGCCTCAACTGTAAACCGAAAAAGAACCATCAGGTGAGAAATAAATGTGAGTCACAATAATCTAGAAATCCCCTCAAATAGTTTCTTCGGAATTGGGAAAATTCCAAAATCCAAAAACGTATATTGCTTTTATACAATGGTGGTAAATTAATCGACATGAATATATTAACTTAAATTTAAAGTCGTTAACCTCTATATCTACTAAAATGAAAAGTATATTTGTGAATAATAAATATTTTTAGTGTTATTGTAAAACCATTTGTATTATTATATCGTAAAAAGTTTACTTCGGCAAGAAACATGCATGCATTAAACAGTTTTTGTTTATGAACTTTCTGCAACTTTAAAATAATTTTACTATTCGAGGTTATATTAAAATTTGTGAAAATATACATAGATAAAAGGGTAATTACACGTTAGTTTGAGAAAATTTTATATCACAGCGAACTTGGAACTCTGTATCTTCCTTTATATTTGGGCTCTATATTATTTATTATTCGAGCAACTTCTCTCACCTGCCAGCAGTGGAAGCAGCACCAGGAGATGCAGATACACACAGGTGGATGTGGAAATGGGACTCAGATTGCGACAACCCATCCTCCGTTCTTGATCAGCGCCAAATGCGGACTGCAGTGGGGTCAACACAACGATTAGCGATCCCAGATCCGAGAGCAGAAACCAGACAGGCAACTTCCAACAGCCAAGTGCCAATTAGCCAAGAGCAGACAGAAACACTGAGAAAATTGTATTCATTATTAGGCGATTTTTTATGAAACTATATATTACAATTTTGGAATTCTTCTAAATGGTTTGGTTTTCATTTTTAACAATCTTGACAGATCGTGTAAAAGATGCAATAAAATAAAAAATTCCAAGTTATATTTTATTATGAATTAAATAAAATTGTTATTGGATATTAAAAAAGTAATTTTAAAAGATTAAACACTTATTTTTATATCAGTGTCGGATTATCAATTTAAAATCGTATTTGTTTGTGTACAGGCACGCGCTTCTTCTTTCTGCCCCTCCAAAATTTAACAATAATAAAAACAATCGCTTGCTCTTGTGCAATCCCGGTCTGTATTATCTGTCCATTTGGTTCTTGACACTTGTGACACACCATTTGGGCTTTTCTGATAGTAGCCAGAATCGAAAAAAGCAATAAAAGCAACAACAACCGGTTCTCTCTCTTAATTCACTTATTATTTTGCCTGGCTCATTGAACTTGGCTTTTTTGCATTGTTTATTTCTGTTTTTTTTTTTGCAAAGCTTGAATGGGTTCTAGTATTTGATTTAATTAGTAAACGTGCCTTATGTTTGTTTATAATTCGGCACTTGCTTACACAAAGAAAAACTGCGGTAACGAAATAAAAATAACTTCATTTAACTTGACAGCTTAAAAGGCTATAACATTTGACTCAAAAGCTTTTTTATTACTTAATGTTCTTGTTTGGCAGTTTTATATTTTTAAGCTTTCGAAGTTGATAGGTATCTATATGCATATATACAAATAGAAATAAACTTAATATTTGATTTTACAAAAATAGAAATACGATAAATATATTGTTTCAAAATCAGCTTACTCTTTTGCATGGGGAATTCAAAGTTTGGAGTCCAGCCGTAAAGAGCCGCGTCTCTGTTGTAGATTTCTATATAAATGTGGGATTGATCTTCGTGTTACTGTTCAAACGGTGTCTAGGGATCGGTCCTCACTGTTGTGCTTATCTAAAAATTAAAAACATTAGTGAGAATTGCGAATGTATGTGTAATTTCTACTATTAATATATACTTCATCGGATAAACTTCCATAACACAAACCAGCCTTCGATCAAAAGTGCACCTTTTCCAAAATATAAATTACTATCACATAAATCTCGAATTTAGGAACTTAAATTGAATTCGATTTATTAGTTGTAAGGTATGTAAGGTATAATAAAATGAGTATCAGTATCAGTATTGTCAACATTTGGTTTTACATAGATCAAGTATTTTTAATAATAAAATTACTTACGGAAAGTATAAAATCTGAGTGAAGTTCACTCAGAACAAAGTTTTCAATGACAAAAAAAAAGTTTTGATTGACATTTAAGATCTCAAAGACGTACATTAAAAACATGTACATAAACTTATATAATAAAAACATATAAGTTGGGATTTTATCAAATATAATAGGTGGTTTTTTAGTTATGACAGCTGCATAAATAAGAAAAAAAAGGCCATCCATTCGAAATGCGCTCAAACCGAACTTCAATTCGCTGCTTATTATAACCTCTTTTAGCCATTATTTGACATTTTGGGAATCTAAGATCTCAAGGTATTCCATAACTTGCACGGGATAGACCTCCCGGAGTTCATCGAAAAGCACTGCATCCAGATGCGGACATCCCTTCCACGTGACGAACAGAAAGAAATGGTCGCCCACCCAGAAGCTATGTTGCACACTCTCCAGTTCCAGTCCTCGAGCCAGCCCGAAGGGTGTGGTGCACGGTGGCTGCCACCAACTGTGCTTGGAGTATTCTTTGGCTTCACTATTATCGCTATCGCTGCCCGAACTGCTCGATCTTGCCGGTGACGGAGTCCGTTCCTCTGACCTCTTCTGTGACCCATTTGCCTCGCGGTTCGGTTCAGGTTCTTTTAAAGTTTTAGCATTTCCACTTCCAACAGAAGGCGAACCCATCCATGACTTCCCAATGCCTTCAGTTGAGGTACTGAGAGTGGGTTCTGCTTCCTGCACCTTGCTGATCTTCTTGATTGCTTCAGTTGAGGCGCTGGCAGTGGGTTCTGCCTCCTGCATCTTGGTGAGCTTCTTGATAGCTTCAGTTGAAGTGCTGGGAGTCTTCTTGATTGCTCCAGTTGAGGCGCTGGCAGTGGGTTCTGCCTCCTGCAACTTGGTGAGCTTCTTGATTGCTTCAGTTGAGGTGCTGGGAGTGGGTTCTGCCTCCTCCATCTTGGTGATCTTCTTGATAGCTTCAGTTGAGGTGCTGGGAGTCTTCTTAATGGCTTCAGTCCAGGGATTGGCAGTTGGTACTGTCTCCTGCTCCTGGCTAGTCCTCCTGATGGCTCCAGTTGAAGTGATACCAGTGGACACTATCTGCTGCTTCTTGAAGATCTTCTTGATGGCTCCATTCGAAGTTATGGTAACGAAGGCTCTCTTCTGCTTCTGGTTGGTATTCTTGGTGACCCTAGTCGAAGGGCTGACTGTGGGCACTGCCTTCTGCTGCTTACAGGTCTTCTTGATGGCCCCAGTCGACGTGTTATCTGAAGGCACTGCCTTCTTCTGCTGGCTAGTCTCTTTGGCGACCCCAGTTAAGGTCCTGGCAATGGTCACTTTCTCCTCCTGCTGACTGGGCTTCTCGGTAGCGTTTGCTGAAGAGCGGGCAGTGGGCACTGTCATCTTCTTCTGATTGGTATTCTGGATGGCTTTAGTTGAGGTGCTTGCAGTGGGAGTTGTCTCCTGCTCCTGGATGGTCGTCTTTTCTTCCTGGCCGTTCTTCATCTGGCTTTCGCTGAAAAGTTTCGCCTCGTAGTCGGCCAACAGAACCAAGCAGTTGGTCATTGCCTCCATGGGCTCCCAGGTACTCATCTCCACCGAAAAGCCCATCCACTTTACAAGGACCTGGGGACGCCCGCGCACGAAGCGCTTTCCGATAATCTTTTCCACTATATACTCGTTGGGATCCTGCCCAGCGGGGGATGTTCCACTGGAGGGGGAATCATTTAAAGGACGAACAGTGGACTTTTTTGGCATGACGCTCGACATCCAACGTGCAAGAGTTTCAAAAAATAAGAAAGAAACATGGCGGCAAGCTTCGAGGCTGCCAACTCGATGCTAGCTGTAGTCGCTGTAGGGCTGGATCGATTGACCCCATTGAATTTTGAATCAGACTTTGGTGTCATTTAAAATCTTATCTTCATTTCCAACTTACTAAAAATTACTGATACATGTTGCACTATTGCCTATACAGTAGTCAATAAAAACTTTGTTCAAGTTTTTGGAACTTTCAGCTATAAAGTTTGTTCACCTGTATCTAAGCTTTTAATTGCTTGTTTTCGATATTGCTTTAAAAATAACTTAAAATAACGATAGTAAATTTTGCCACAACTAATTTTTACTAAAGACATCATTTTTGTTATTTATAAATGACATAAATTAAAAATGTTTTTCGGAAAAATTTCGGTTTATTTTGAATTTCCACGGGGTTTCCCCGACGATGTGGTGTGACCGCCGCATCGCTATTTGGTTGGAATTACAAGACAGCCCATTTAAGCATGTCTGCGCTACGTAAGGTGGGTGTACTTGCTAGGTCAGGAGTGTGAATTTGCTAACTTGCTTCGGTATCGGTAACATATCGATAAGTACATCGATATTTTTCAAAAACTTTCAAAACATCGACGCGTCGATGGTTCTATTGCCTCCACTCTAGCAACTTGCAACACTGAGTCGAAAAGCGAAATTTGAACGAAACGGACGCAGTCGAGTCGCCTTGGAGAGGTACTATCCATTATCCCCGTGTTTTGGTTTGGGGGGTTTGTTTTGCCGGCACTTTGGCGTAAGTGTACGCGCGCTTCTTTTCCGCGCCCTTTCAATTCCACCCTTTCCGTAAGCGACGCGCGCACTAACGGTGAAAATATAGCGAGTGTGCAATTTATTAATATAAATAGCGCGTAATTCTATACGCACAATGTCTCTGTTCGCGGACGTCTGTTTTTTTTATCTTTTCCGTACGGTTCGTCAGAATTTGCGTGCTTGTTGTTAGCTTTTTTTTTAGGAAGTGTAGAACAAAAAAGCAAAATAATTGTTTGAAATTTGAATGGAGTGCAAGAGGGAGATGGGAATACTCATGATCAGCTGAAGGTGAACCAGTTGTTGTTATTGTTTGCTTCATTTCAAGTGCAACCCTTTTATTGCTGTCCCTTTCTTCTATTGTCATTTGACGTCATGACGTCACTGAGCTTCGTTTAGCGATCAGATGACTCAGATGCACTGAAAAAAATGCTGGATCTCTTTATAAAAACTAGAGCAATTATCCCAATGCAACATTTAATATTTTATAAAATTATTGATTATTGTGAACTTATTTTGCGGATTTTTAAAGCAATCTATCTCACTTCTTATTACATTTTTGTATATTGCAAGATTTAGATTTAAAAATTTTTTTTTTATTGGTTAATATATTTCCTACACAACGGCATTTAAATTAAAGTGAATAAATAAAACTTTTTTCTATGTGTAGTAAACCTTATTAAAGCTCTGACGTCAGCTGGGCAAATTTAGAAATGCTTCAAAATGCTAAACAATTGATGACTATTACTTGGAGCGAATAACAAGAAAAAAACTATGAAAGACCAAGGCAACGACAAGAGCAAACAACAAACAGAGCAAATATCGATGTTGCCATTATCAGTTGATAATGAGAAATTGCCCAACTCCCCCTTTTCCACTCACTCGCTGATAAGATAAGATAAGCGTTCTTTCCTCCGCGTGTTTCACATTCTTTTTTTTCACATTTTTTTTGCGCTGTGCATCAATCAGAATTCCGTGAAAAGTTGTTAACACACGTTCTTTTTAGAGTAGTGGAATAAACCAAGCAAAGCAGCAAGGAAACATAAAACAAATTAAGCAAATAGAAGTGGCCGAAAAGGAGAACCGGTTGCAAATCAAGTGGCAAATAAAACACGTCATTTTTTGCCGTCTGTCTATCGGCGATCTAGCAACAGGTGAGTCTGATGTGTAAATGCGGGGGAATGTGGGTGGTAATGTTTGTTGTACTTTCACCTTTCCGGCGGCCTAATGAGGGCTATTTATACACCACACTCGAGCCCTCAGACTGGGGCTTTGTTATTTTACTTTGCCATTTTTGGGCATTTTTTTTTACAAATTATGCTTGCTTTCATCGCCTGATTAGATACTCCAAACCAAGTAAATTACCCACAAATCTTATTATACTGTGAGACTTTTGAATCAGATTTTTTACGGTTTAATTATATAAAATTGAATTAGTCATAAAACATGTTGAATGTTTTAATATTTACATTTTACATAACTCGCCCAGAGACATTGGCATAAATTTATTAGATAGGTAAGATCTTCCAACCCTTACAAATGTTTATTAGTTTATTTCAATTATGTATTTAGGGAAATTTAATATGTTTATTGATTCAATTGAAGTTAATTTAAATTGTTTATGTTTTTATTTTACCATATTAATAGACCAACTATACGGTTTTCCACTGTAGCAAAATTCTTAACTTTTGGAGTCTTTGTATTTCCCCACAAAATTTGTTATTCCAAAGAACTAAATATTTAAATTTCAATTCGTGCACGACTATTACGAACCGAGGGTATCATAAACAATTTGCTGCCGTGCTGCATTTGAATTTCAATTTGAGCAATTCGAGCAGCAAGGCTAAAGTGAGAATAACGATATTGACCTCCACAGAACTAACCGAACGTTTACCCTTTATGAGTCTGGGGATTTGCCATTTTTTGTAGATGTTCAGTACATTTTGTACTTATTTGATAACATTATTTGCGTTCTTTATAATTTACGGGGTTTATCTAAATCCATTTCCGCTTCCACGTTTCGTTGTCGCAATTTATTGCCATTGCTTTGTTACTATTTCATTTGTCTGACCTGCATTTTTTCTCTAGTTTGTTGTACGTCCGCTGTTCCAGTCGTTGAAAATTTGAGCCATTTTTACGGGGCTAAAAACATTTGGTTAACAAAATGTATACAACAGAGAGCACAGCGAAGAAACTGAAAAAAAGCGTGAGAGACTGAAATGATCTCATTCTCGCTGGCTGTGCAGAACATTTGTTGTTGCTTACTTGGCTCAGTTTCTTTTTTTCCAGTTTTTAAATCGAGTCAATTTTGTTGCACTTTCTGGCAAATTTTGAAAACGAATTGGAATTTGGGAAAACAAGGAAAACCACAACGCGATTTCTAGCATTTCAAATACATTGTTTCGGAGTTATGTTTCTTTGGGAACTAATATGAATTTTGTTTTCGTAAATTCATTGAGTTTATGAAAATAAAACAGCAGTATATTGAACATATTGACCTATGAAAATTCGTAAATGCAAGTAGGGGTTTTTCAGTTGTTTTGATATGAAGAAATAGATTCTAAAGCAATCTCTCTCCAGCAAAGTCATATATGCCCGAAATTGGTTAACGAGGCCTCAAGGTGAATAATAAAATATCCATAAAATTAGAGATGTATCACAAAAAATAATATATACTGAAAAATGTTTGTTATTTTTACTTGGCTTGCTAGTGCTTTCAACGAATTAATTATCATTTCAGTAGAGTGTTGGCCAGACACCGCTTTTTTCGGGAACACACTTATAGCCCCGCCAAGGCGAGACCATCTGCTCTCATTATAATTATCTGTTCGATATATTCGCTGCCGGTGTGTGGTTCATTCAACTTGGAGCCCCGACCACCGACCACCGATCACCGTCCTCCGTCCTCCGTCCGATTCCCGGCCTCCCGGTCAATCGTCCGGCTCTTCATTTAAAAATAATTTCCACTGTTGCTTGTTTTGATTTAAGTTCCTCAGCGATTTATACGCCCGATCTCGGGGCGACTTTTACATGGATGAAATGAGGCGTGAGTGTGCTGCAACTGGTGTAAAACGATATGGAGTTGTCGGTGGGGCGACGGGGAATTTAACCCCATTTTGCTTTGCCGATAAACAAATGCAATTCGAGATGAGCTGCGAATTTCACTCGTCTTTCTGTGCGTTTGGCGGCATATTTGAAAGTTGTTTTGTAAAATTAGAGCGGGTTGAATTCGGAGGGGTGTGAATGTGACCTGCATTTTAATGGGGCCTGAGCTGGTATGCAGCAATTGAAGAGTCAACCTCCCATATCTTCTTTCATTAAAATAGACTAGTTTTCAATCGGATTGTATCAGGTTAGACATATATTTTGAACCTTCTTTAAGGTTGTTGTGCCTCTGATGAGTAGCAACTTCAGTTCTGTGACAGCATCTCAGTTTCCTATCATTAACAGCCATGTGGGTCACTTAACGACGCCTTAATCAGCCTCTAATCGGCGCTCCTTCAACTCAACAACAACAGAAATAGCAAACAAAAGCAATACAACCCACCACTGACACACTAAGGAACTTTGCCCCAAAAAAAGCGGAAAGAAAACCCCTTTGCCCATCGAACGGGGTGGAAGGCATTGGGGTAAAGGGCCTTTCCCCTTTGTAAACTGCATTTTCGATATGTGTTACGTGGCCATAAAACTGTCCGACTGGCCATATTGCCAAGTCGCTCTAATTTATGGAGCACCACCCAAACCACCAACCACCATGGGCTGCGTTTTTTCTATTTCTTGTTCTCGTGTTTTTTTTTTTTTTTTTTTTGGCTTACAGAGGGTGGTGCTCTGAACTTTGCCACGCTAATTCTGAGAATATTACCAGCGATTGTGTAACCAAAGGAAAGCCGACTTTTCTTTTCTTGCGTGCTTCAGTTTCAGCTTGTGCATGGTCTTTACTTATTAATGATTGCATTTCGAGTGCGAGTACATCGACTTGCGAGTTCTTAAAAATTTATTGCAAAATGCACTTGTACGCACTTATTATTTCCATTTTTGGCCAGCTAATTATTGTGCAGCTGTGGAACGCATTTTCTGATACCAGACAATCAAGTTAATAAGCAATTAATAATTAAATTAAAAATAGGAACGAAATGGCAATTATTTTTGTAGGACTCTAAGTTCTATAAGTAATGTGGGATTTTTGTACAGATTGCCATTTCTTCTTTTTAAAAGTCCATATTTCTCT